CCCCCAGATCTTAACATTATGTACATAATCAGTTCAAATTGTGATTTTTTTCAATGCTATCCTCAATAATATTTATATATCTGTTGATGATCATACACAAAAAAATTACCCCTCCGTCCTACTAGGATTGTCTCATATTAAATTGATAAAGTTTGAGTGATTCTATATCAATTTTGTTTTATTCTTATGCTATAATTCAATATCAAGCATGCAAGCTCACTTTTCCACTTTTTTAATAAACTGTGCCACATACTCATGTCACAATTTAAGTGGGATGGAGATAGTAAAAAATATAAAGTCATTAAACGAGCTAGTGTCTAGGAGTGATTATTGACTAAAAAGCCCAATGGACACACAACAACACATTTCAAAGCTCACTTTTACACCTAAGGTGGCCACATTCACGTGTGCAATGACCCACACTCCCATGAGCACGCAGCCTTGGGCCCATGGCAGATCCCATCAAAAGCCCATACTATGCTGAGGAGGATATGGGAATAGTTGGTTACATCTATCACAATATAGTGAAAATGAAAAATGTAAGGGTAATTCTATTCACAGCCACAATATTACTAATCACAACCACCTAATTAAATTTAAATAAATAAAATTATAACAAATGTCTATTTTACCCCTAGCAGCCTGACTCGTTTAATAATCCTGCGCAATTGAACTGGGAAGAAGATGAACAAAAATCCCTTGTGGTCGGAACGGCGCACCAAATCAGATAGGAAGATTCTTTTTTAGATTGGCTTTCATCCGATTCTGGCTAATATGAGCAGATGACAAATCACCCACATCTTAGGACTTAGGGACTGCTCGCCTTCAATGCACACAGTTAAGGAGAAAACTGTCCGAGAAGGACCTGCCTGGGTGGGGTTCTAATGTTTCCGATCAGGAAGATGATCGATGTTTCTCCAATTTTGTTGACTTCCGGCTCTTCATAAATTTAAAACCACATAGATGATTCTCCTAAGCAGTTGATCTATCGTTACATACTGTATTTGCGTAAGGCTAAAATCGATATTTAATATAATTTTATGTATTTAAATTTGATTTGAGTGTTGTGATTAGTAATTTCGTGGCTGTGTATAGAATTACCCAAAATGTAATCATAAGGTCATATGCAACGTAGAAATAAATATTGTAATAGATATGGAACGAGTAAATAAGCTACGGAACATGGGTCGGCCCTACAGAAACTCTAGGCGGCAAACTTTTAGACGATCTAATCTTTGGCTTGATTTCTCATATTGAAAAGACTTTTGATGATTGTGATGTTTTCTGGACAGTAATGAATCAATTGTTTTGTTATGTTATTCCTTTTTTCTCTATCTACTAGGGTTCTGGTTTTAGTCCGACATCTTCTCTGGCTAGAGTTATGTCTGCTTCAGGTGAACGTGTATTTTGTTCTTCTTCTAAGAATGTCTAGAGGTTGTGTCTTCCTCGTCCGTGTAACCGATTGAGTGCTACATTATTAATGGTTGGCAAGACAGATTCAACCCAGTTCTTCTAAAGCTTCAATTACTTGTCCCCTTCCTGAACCACCGCCTCCCTCGAAGAAAAAGATAGCACTCAACTGAATCTTCTTTCCGGTGGCTGGTCAAACTGATTATCCAGACAATTTTTGTTCAATTGATTTTTTCATTTGTTGGTTGATGGTTAGACTAATTATCCTTTTGGTACCCGATGAAGCCGAATCTTTTAATCGTAATTTTTTATTTTTTCTTTGTAGTAGCAAGAAGAGCACATCATGCCTCTCCCCCAGGCCCTCTTGTGTTTACGTACTTATAGGATTGTAAACGAACATGATCGAGTCAAATAGTGTGATATTCATGTTCATATTTGTTTAATTTATTTAAATACGGATCCGATTTGAATATGAAATGAATGTCAATTATTTCAATTTATATTTGTATTCGTGTAACAATATGAATAGTTAACGAAACAATTTATAGGCCAGAAGGAAAGGGCACACACTTGCACCTCATGCCTCCCCCAGGTCCTCTTGTTGTTTACGTACTCATAGGATTGTAAATGAACCTGATTGAGTCAAATAGTGTGATATTTATGTTCGTATTTGTTTAATTTTTTTAAATACAAATCCGATTTGGATATGAAATAATGGTAATTTCAATTTATATTCGTATTCGTTTAACAATATGAATAGTTAATGAAACATATAGAAGTTTTGAATCGATCAATTTTATCATAAGTTAATTATTGGTCAAATATTGCTTTAAAACAACTTTTCCTATATTTTTTTTATGTTATAAATGCATGCTATGAATTAGTACGAGTATGTGTTTTTAAAATTTAACTTGTAACATTATATTTTTTCTTTAAAGTTTAATGGATCAATGCGTTTTTGGGTGGTTCACAATATACTAAAGTGCATCAGTTTCATGGCTAATATACATAAATCTATTTCAAAGTTCTTGAAATAAACACAAACATACATATTAAATATTATATATACCTATAATGTGTTATAAGTAAGTTGATAGTTATATTAGAGTAAAATGACTCTAAATTTTAATTAGATACTATCCTCCGTTCTTTAATTCTTGCAACAGTTTGACTTTCACGTTTGCCAACGTACAACTTTGACTGTAATTATATTTAATTATGTATTAGTAAACATTATAAAAAGTTGATATTTTGGAAATTCACATTGATAGGAATTCAATAACATTTTATACGTAATAATTTGATTATGTATATTAGTAGAAAATCGTGGTCAAAGTAAGGTCTGTGAATAGTGCAAAAATCACAATGTTATAAGAATTAAAGAACGAAGTATTAAATATTGTTGATAATAGAAAACCCTTATTTGACTTTTTTTTGTTAGTACATGAAGAGCAATCTTATTCCCAAAAAGAAACTCAGTACTATGTTATACTCCCTCCGTCCTTAAAAATACTTCCAACTTTCCTTTTTATCTGTCCCAAAAAGAACTTCACTTCCCTTTTTGGTAAAGAATTTGTGGTTCACAACAATTCTTACACATTGCTCTCTCCTCTGTACAATTCCACCACACAATTTTCACTTTCTTAATTCGTGTGTGCCATTTGTACTATGGAAGAACTTCCAGGGACGGTGGGAGTAGCTACTTAAGTGTAAACATTGACCATATGTCACTATGAATAAAGTTACTTTTATAGTCAATAAAATTAAGATGTCCCATTTTTTGTGAAGTACTTTTACTTTAGTCATAAATATGTTCTTATTTTTTAAATAAATGCATATTGTATATATATGTGGTGTGTTGTCTTACTTGTCTATTGAGCTTAATATTCAAATACACAAATGTATTAACTATGAGATTGATTTCAAATTTGATATTGAGTATACATTTATTGGAATATTATTTGTACTAAACCTTTTAAATGGCGCCCCCAACAATTTTTATTCCTGGATTCGCCCCTGCACATACTGGGTATTTGATGTTGTATAAGTAGAAACGAATCACAAATAAAATCAAAATTGTTTGATTTGTAAAGTCCCAGAGTAGTCTTAAATGTAAATGTATTAGAACAAATGTTTTTTTTTTCTTTTTTTAACACACATGTTATGTAATTATTCATACAAGAGTCATGAATTATTATTACTATGTCGTTTTGTTTTATACTTCTTGTTAAAGTAAGTTCTAGAATATGAACTACAATAAATCAATTAATAATTCTTTATTTTATCATTAATTCTTTAAGCAGTATTGGGTGCTTAGCTATATGTTGTTGGACTATTCTGCTTTTATGAAATTAGTACAATTATTGATCAAATATATTTGATTAACATTCCAATCGATTGACATTCTTATTTATATCTGATAACAATTCGAATCAAATTTTATATTTTTATTTGTACTCGGATTTGAATTTTTTGAAAAATTTCATACGAATTAGAATCCTGAACTAAACATAAATTATTTGATTCATATACAACCATACGTACTGATATTAAAAGATATATTGCTTATTAATTCAAAGATGTATTGCTTGGTAGAGACTTCAGTTATGACATACTTCCCCTGTTCTTTTTTAGTTGCAACATTCCTTTTTCACGCTTGCTGATGCACAACTTTGACCGTCATTATATTTAATTCTCTATTGGTAAAAAACTTTTAAAAATCCGATTATGAAACTTTGTAATGAGATGAATTCAACATTGTTTTTTAAAAAAAAATCACATACATTAATAAATAAAATGTAGTCAAAGTAGAGTACATGAATAGTGTGTAAAATCCAATGTTGCAACTATTATGATACGTAGGATAGTATGACTCAAGACAAAGTTCGGTAGTGCCCACTACCCAATACACGGTTTTTTTTTTTTTGCTAAATGTGATATGAAAAGTGGACTCATGTAATAAAGAGTTTTTGCAACTTTCAATCCTCCAATTATTATGTTATTCATACTTTTGGTACTCGATTTTAATTTTTTTTTCGTTTTTAGTCCTTCGACTAATGTGTGAAAGACACTTTTGATACCCGCATATAAAAATTTCCGTATTTAGTTCTTCAGCATTCATCAATGTGAATTTTTGTTCATCCAACTATTATAATAGTGACATTTTTAGTCCTTCACTTATTGTTTAAAAATCATAGTGGAATGACAAAAAATGTCAATCTGCTAATACTTAGGAGACTAAATATGAAAAACTGTAAAATCAAAGACCAAGTGTGTCTCTCACACAATAATTTAAGATTACAAATGAAAAAATTGAAAATCAAGTATAAAAAATGTCATCGATACAATACAGGGAACCAAAGTGACCAAACCGTGTAATAAATTAGACTTGTAAGATGTAAACAAGTAAACGATGGTGAAAGTAGGGAATCAAATGCTAGTAAGATAGAGGGGTGCCATCAATTCAAAGGCCTATCTAGATACCCCCTAGCTACTAATAATTCCATTGAATTTGAGGCTATAGATATACTTGTATATATAATCCACCGATTCCCATCTAAAAGCGCGGTACGTACTCCTCAAAGACATAAAATCAGACCTAAAAGTCATGAATGTTGAGAAAGAGAATATGGAGCCAACCCATTCCGAGGAAGAAGGTGAAGCCTCAAATGGTGTTGCTCTGCCTTTGACGATCGGGAAGAAGAGGAAGCTGGTGATATTGGATATTAATGGCGTACTTGCCCTTATGGTTAGGCACTCGATCCCAGGTGGTGTCAGCTTTCCCGGCGGGTTGACGAGTATGCATAACTCACACATCCTTTTACTCCTACTTGTTTGACATAAATATATTGTAGATTTGATCACTAACTTTAGTTTTGCACGTCTTCATTTTCTAAGTCTGTTTGATAATATTTAAATTGTGATTGAATTGGTTAAATCTATAGAATTCTAAAAAAATTATATTTATAATATATTTTACTAATAAGATTTGGTTAAAATTAAACGAAAGATAGCTAAAATCTTCGTATAAGTAATTTGAACTAATTCAGCCAAAAAAGTAACTTTAATCATGCCAATTCTGATCCTTACACAATTGTGCGTGCGAAATCAAAATATGATTGACAAAAAATATGACTGATGAGGTGATAATCTAAAAGCAGATGTTATCAAAAGGCTCTCAATTTTAATTTCATTCATTTTTATATACACTATTATATTTATTTCTTTTGAAACTTTGTCATCTTTCATATGCTTGTACTATATAAAAATTATTGCCAAAATTTATCACCATTGACTTTTCAAGTAAAAGATAACAATTTTTTAGGGGTAAAAGTAATAATTAAAAAAGTTGTCCACAAATTTTTTTCCGGATTGTTATATTCCGCATAAATGATGTACAAGCTTCATATGAAGTACCACATATTAATGAGCTCTACAATATTAGGTAGTGTTTATTTTAAACAACTCAATCCCTACACTTTTGCTCCACCTTTGATCTATCAATTCAAGGTGTGAACAATAGTGGAGGAATCATTATCTTTATCTTTATACGAGAATCTATGAATAGAGTATGGTGGGTACCCAATAAAAATCTATTTGAAGTCAAAAGAAGTGAAAAATGTTATCTTAATTAATGAAGCATTTAATAACTCTTAAATTAATAATAATGAATAAAGATTATGTAAATATGTAATTTATAGTTACAAGTTATAAATAACACATTTAAAAATGTAATAAATATAAATATAAAAATTGAAGAATTAGAAACATAAAACATCAGAATTCATTTGGACACATAAAAAATAAAGAGAGAATAATGAAATGTTCTGATCAAAAAATGAAAATATAGAGTATTAGATTATATTTAAGTGTGAATGATCCGGCTAGAAAAGTTCTGTGAAAGAATACTTCTTTTATAAAGTTGGCAATAAATTAACTGCAATTGCAGAATATAATTTACTTGAATAACACATTACATGTATGGTAATAAACAACAATCTACAAAGCATATAAGAAAATATTAATCATTCAAAAATATGAAGACGTTAGCAGTGTCCATTTTCATACAACTAACATTTCATTGTTCAAAATTTTGATAGGTTAATTGTTATTTTTTAAATACAAACATATTGTATAATCCACCCACAAACATAACTTGAAATGAATTGAAAACCAACATTTTCACGTCTCTTGATTAATAATTTAATAGTATTATCATTTTTTCGTTTATGTAAATTGTGAGGTAATCACCGTTTTTTCATTTATATTAACATTCACAGTCCTTATAATAGAGAGAGGTGAAGGGAGATATAGTACTGGTAAATATCTTCAACTTAGGATGATATTTATTAAAAAATTATAATGCACAATAAACTCTCAGCCTAGACACAATATGTTATTTAAAATACTTGCATTTATAAACAATGCATTGAATAGTCATCACAATCATAAATTATCTATGAATAATTGTAGTATAAAATTATAAGATGATAGTGATAGAAATGCTCATTAGACTAAAAAAAATCAAAGACGATATAAGAATGCTTATTTGGTTGCAATTTCAAATTATGTTTCAACTTATATAAAATAAGTATGTACTATGTATATACATGTTACTAATGAGCCTAATTACGTACACACAAAAAATTAAGCTTATTCATTATTAGTGCAACACATGTGCCACCTGACTAGTAAATGTTTTTTTTTGACAACATTTTTTTAAACTAAATGCTGTCAACATTTTTTTTGACAACATTAGTAAATGTTAATAAATGCTAAGATTTCAACCCCTTATATAATTAATTAATGAGGGGTATTTATAGTAGAGGGTGTTAGCCGAAAGGCGTGACATGCCGCTCTCTCCAAAATTTAAAGGAACAGAAGATGACTTGTTTATAAGATAACAAGTTGACAGCACAACCTCGCCCCAGGATGGCATGTGTAGTTTAGCCATACTGAGCATACAACAAACTTTTTCTATAATGGTTCAATTCATTCCTTCAGCTACACCATTGTGTTAGTGGTGTTAGTGGAACCGTTTTCTCATGTATGATTTCACATTTAGCGCAATTTGCTGAGAATTCCCAGAAACTTTATTCTACTCCATTGTCAAGAAAATAGAAACTTTAACTTCTTCCTTGTATCTCTTTCGAAAATAAAAAATTCTACCATGACATGAAATAATTTGAAATGATCAAACACTTGATCATTATTTTAGACGCCAAGTCCATACCTTTCGTGATGCATCATATATCAATGAATGTCGCAAAATATATACTGGCCCAAAATGGGTCCTCTTCAATGGATCCACATACATTAGAGTGGAGAAGACGGAGTAACACAGAATGGCTCTTTATGGTGGAACTAAAGGAAACTCAGTGTTGTGATACTCGCATGGATTCAAGGAAACACCTTTATCAATGGAAATGTCTTCCTTCTTAGCAAGAATTATCAGGTCCTTTCATGCTCAAGTGGTCTAACCTTCGAGACCACAAGTTTAGTGATGTCTCTTCTTCAAGAAACCTTTTGATAACTTCCACATACCTTGTTTGAATTGATTATCATATCCCTAATGGTTCATAGTTGCATGATGTGAGTTTTCCCGCACTTAAAAAGATTGTGGTAAAGTGATGAAAGTACGAGTATCATCTCCACAGGGACGGACAAAAGGGAAATAAGAATTAACTAAATTCAGCGATAAAACAGAAAATAAAAAAATGTAATGGTGCGAGATTGATTGGGTTGGAAAATTAAATTGCAATTAAACGAATAAAATAAAGCGGTTTCTTCTTAATTAACGACAAAGGGAACATGGATTGATTCCGGGGTAACCAGATTTCTGGCATATCAGGCTTAATTACATGAAATTAATTTAATTGAGCGTAGCTAAAATTACCAAGTTTTTACTGATCTCGCAGCGTAGAGTACAATAATTTAGGGGACCAGACTGATCTCTCAGACTCTCATGCGACAGGTTCCTAAATTATTGCCAAGACGAGCGAGCTTATGACTCACAACTCATAATTGAAGAATCAACATAATTGGGATGAATAGAATTAATTGTCATTAATTAAAAAGATTGAACTTACAAATAATATTAGGGCCGTGAAGAAAACAGAGGAAAAACGCAGATAAATTCGTCCTTAGGCCTCTTTATGAAGTTCGTAACCCCAAAAATGAGTATGAAGGCCTTATTTATATAAAACAGGCAAAATTCGGCTCAAACTGGGATTTCTGGGGTCAGGCACTACCGTGCCTGAGACCGTGCGTCCGGAGCACTTCGTGCGCAATATGGGCAGGAAGGATCGTGCCTGGCTTCCAGTAGCTCAGTTCCTCTTCCTTCTACAAGCAGGGCGTGCCTATCCGACAGGCACCACCGTGCCTAGTTTTTTTCTTCCGAATTTGACTATACTTCCTTCACCAAAGTTGTAAAAAATGAAGTCATTTATCCACCACAACTTGCAAAACCGGATTTGAATCATCCAATCAAAAGATATGAATAAAATGGTGGAAGGTTGCATTCTGAAATCGTAACAGGGATCATCTGACTTCTTCATCTGTTTTCACCTTCCTCCTCTCAGATTCTTGCAATGGTGTCTTCATATGATTTGTGGCCCTTGAGGTTGGATTTCATATGGAACTTAAATCGTGTAATTTGGATGTTTCTACAAAAAGTTATGCTTGAACGATTAACAGAAGGTCATCCTGATCACCGTTTTCAAGCTCTATTCATCTTCTTTTGATCCCGTAGCCAATCCTAGAGCTTTTTTGCCTTCAAATCTTCATCGTTAGCCTCCAGGTGACCTCCAAAGCTCTCAAATCAATCTAGAATGCTTCTCAAATCGTCCCGATTTCTTCTCAAGCGCCGGTGCCGGGCTCAAATTCCCTGATTTTGACTCCAACAATATAAATCTCGAACCAACACCCGGTAAACATGACTTGAGCTAAAATTGAGAGCTGTGACACAAAATAATTAGGGAAACCATCAAAAGCCGATCCCAACACACATCAAATGTGTGTCGAAATACGGACTTATCATTGCACCAGAAATAAGCTACACTATGAGATCCAGAACATAAGTAACATCTTTCAACACAAGTGTGCATTTGACATTGGTTATTATGACACATCAACAATGTCAACAATCTTCATGAAACTCGTATCTCCCATCATCGCATCTCCAAATTCTCCAAACTTGTAGGTTGTGAATAGATTTTGGCATTGTGTGGTGTGAAATAATGTGGTTGTATCAACCACACACTCAATATCATGAGTATCTACATGTAGACATTGTTCACCATATGTAACAAGTAAGATGTTTGATGTCATGGTCACCATAGTCTCACCATATTCTTGTAGGCTCGTTTTTTTTTACTCGTCTGGGGCTGCTCTCATAAAACTTTCTAGAATCTCTTTTTCTATGCTAATAATAACCACAATGACTACAATATCCTTCACATCTAGTATAGTTCTCAAAGGACACACCTTGTTCTCGTGATCTGCTGCAAACATGAGACTTCCTCTATTTTTACCTTGACCTCTACCTTTACCTCTTCATCCATTTCTGTTTCCCCTTCGTCTGTTGGTTTATGACACGAGGACATATAATCAGTCTCGGCTTTTTTCCTTTGGGCTTCTTCATTCATCAATACATCTTTTATCATCTACTATACATTGTCACTTTTCTGTTGAAAAAAATACTGAGAGTAATAACAAGAGTCTCTCGGCTATCAGGTAGAGAGCTCAAGAATAGTATCATGTGTTCTTCATCTTTAAGCCTCTGGAGGCTCTCAACTGGTTCACGAGGTCCTGGAACAAACTTGTGTGTTCTGCAACTAGATACCACTACGTAACTTGTGCTTTACCAATTGTCTCAGTATTAACGTCTTATTTCGAGCGCCTTTTGTGTGATACATGCTAGCAAGTTTCTCCCATAGTAAGTAAGCATTATGTTCTTCGGCAACATGGTGGAACATACCATGATCGATCCATTATCGAATTTGTGCGACTATTTTTCTATTCATTTTAATCTACCCTTCATCTGTTTTTTGTTTGTTTTGGCGCCATTATTATCAAGAGGATCGGCTAAATCCTTTAAATTTAGCAAATGATCCATTCGAGGTTTCCACATATTGTAATTTGTGATAGTAAGAGCAATCATGGTATCCGTCTATGAATTATCCACAATAAGTGTACAATATTTCTCATTAATTATTTTTTAATCCAAATTAGGTCAAACGAATCAAACATTTGGATCTGAAATGGTCAAAATTGTGGGAACCGGGCTGACCTCTTTGAAAACTGGTTTGGAAGATGGTGAAAAGGGCTTGTGAAATTTGAAGCGGTTCAGTCTGGTCCATGCAGCTGCCCATTGTGCAGACACGAGTGTCAGTGACTTGGCGATAGGTGACACACATGCTACTGACCCTTGTATGACGTAGTGACACATATCAGATGACGTGGCAACAATAGAGGTGGACTGAAAATCTGGTGGATGATGATGGGCCGGTTACATATGCTGACTGAATGATGATGTGTAGATGATGTGAGCCTGACGTGTGTGTCGTCTCCGATCTCTAGACGGTGTGTGCAGTGTGTGCTGTGAGTAACTTCCACTCGTCGGTGTGTGGTGGCGCGTAAAGCTTCATATGGTGGCCGTTCTGACGCCTGATTAAAATGAGATTAAAATAACAATTTTTTCTTGTTTGGAGCTTAATCTATTAACTCGAGTGATTTACACTAGTTAATTAAAACCAAAAAATAGTGAGGTTGAATTCTCTAACTTTACATATATGATTATACTACGTAAATAAATTCGTGTGTATGTAGTTCTAGAAATGGTATTTTTCTGACAAGCATGCGAGTATGGCAATATGCCACTCGATCTTAACATTATTAATTACTTGTACAATATTTTTTAATGTACTAAAAAGAATCATGTTCATGGTATCTAATGAATTTGCAGTAGCAAAGCGACCCTTCTGTGAAGATTTTTTGCAATTCTGCTTCGAGAGGTTCGACGTGGCCATTTGGACTTCTAGAGCCAAGTATGTATCTATATATAGAAACATTGTCTTATCATATGCGTATTACTACAAATCTTAAACAATTAGAGATGTTTCATATCATGTGAAAAATGGAAATGTGGAATTGTTGTCTTGTGGATCCCTAAATAAATTTTAAACTAATTCTAAATACCTCCCGCAATTAGAGATGTTTCATAAGTCCCTTAAATTTTTTTTATCTATCCTTCCCTTTTTGGATCCCAAAAAATTTGTTACTATTCTTTTTAATAAAGAATTTGTAGTTCCTTTTATTTGTCTCTCCTATACATGTACAAATAAACCACATAGTTTTTACTTTATTATTTTTCGTGTCATTCAAATTTTATAATGTTTTGATAGATGGAGGGAGTATTTAAATTCAAAATTTAAAGTATATATAGTGGGTGATACATTTGTAACTTTAATTTCCATAATTTCTCTTTTAATTTTGGGAAAAATAAACATAACACCCGAAACTTTAATGGAGTGTGAGATAAATACTTCAAACTTACGTGTGTAATTTATACTAGTCTATCAGCTCGTGCATTGCATGGATAACGAATAATTAATTTATTTTTAACTGAATTCTATCCACGAGTAATACTCCCTCCGATTCTTAATTAAGTTCCTGGTTTGACTTCACACATATTAAGGAAATAAATTTGACTTTACTGTGGAGTGCACTGTTGTGCACTGTTTGACACTGTTTTGCACTGTTTTAGCATTGTTTTGGTGTAGATTTGTTTGCCAAATAAGGAAATAGGAACTTGCTTGGGACATCCGAAAAAGGAAAGTGAGGACTTAATTACGGGACGGAGGGAGTATGTGTATAAATATTTATACTATAATTTAAAATAGAACATGACATAGAATTATATTAGTACGCATTAGAGTACATGTATGATAATTATCAGAGATATACTCATTAATATAAAGTTACCAAATAATAATTATTTGGGTTCATTATCAGAGATTGATTTATCACACTTGAATATAATATAGTACTCTATTTTTTAAATTAAACATAGAATATACATGTTCCAACTTTATTATGTCATGTATCTTAATTAATTCTGCATGTATATGTTTGTAATGTTTTTCATACAATTTTATTTATATTTATTATCTTCAACCTCATTTTTCTAATGCTTTATTTATAACTTCCAACTATTAATTAGGTTTGTACTTAATCATTGATTGTTATTAATCATTTAATAATTAAATAATACTCATTAATTATGATAACAAATTTTCACTTCTTTTGGCTCCAAATGAATTTCTACCATATTTTCTTTATAAATATAAAGATACCTCGAACTTTATATAAAAAGTTATTTTCGCATCATATTATATGTTTTTTTACTAATATAAGTTTATTGGAATAATTACATAATTTAAAATACTCAAAGCTTTCTTAGAATGCAATTAACATTCTAGAATTTCATTTATGGAATAAAGAATATTACATCTGGTACAATTTAATTTGAATTGCATCGTCATAAATGTTTTGTGTATTTTAAGTTATATATGTAGCACTATAAAATTGCATTTAATTTGTAAAAAAACATATGATAATGGTGCTAACGTAATTTTTATATAAAGTTTGGGATATATATGTATACACACACACACATGTATATTACATGTGCAAGTTTGGGTATTTATCTCAATCCCCTTCAAAATTTATGATATTTGAATTATTTTTTCCTTTACTTTTTGGTAGTCATGACTACTTTCTGAGTATTATTTTGTTTACTATAACTTTCTTTTTGGGATGTGTTACAATTTTTGCCACACAATCCTTTTTTGATATTTTCTTTTTAAAAATAATAATCCTTACCTTTTGTACTTATTATCCTCTCTTTCATATTTTCCATAATATTTCTTAGTTTTTGTATAGTATTCATTAATCTTACTAGTTTTCTCGTAAACCATGTGTCAAACTCTATAGTAGTAAACATTACAATATGGAGGATATCTTTTTAATCTATTATTTTCTATTAAAAGCTCTGGAGTAGTCATATATGTGGCTCATTTTATTGCAGAGTATAAAGTTCTTTCTAAATGATTGCATGCTAGACTATCATGTTACATCTAAATATATCAAACAATATGCTTCATTTCATATAGTATGTTTCCAAATTGTTTCCCAAAATTTCTCATTTAACTATATGATTATGGTGCTAGATGCATGATTGAATTCATATATGGTAGCTCAACTAAGACAACATCAAAATGTGATCATAGTACGTACATTCAACTCCAAATTTTATCTAGGAAATAATATATAAGTGGGACCAACATTCATGACAATTCTCACACAAAAAGGTATAAATATTTTCGAATATGTGACGAGACACACGTGGAACAAAATAAGAAAAAATTAATGAATGATATGAATACATGTCAAATAACATCATTTTAGACACAAAGTTATTAGTCTTATGACTAATCGATATAAATGAAAAATTAATATATAAGATTTTAGTGATATATGGAGTAATTTTCTCTTTTATCAACCATATTATGGCTAAATTTCAATTTTCTATTTATAGATAAACTTTTTTACTATCTAGCCGATTTTCAAGGCTACTATCTATGAAAACGAAAAAGAAATCTCACAAGAGGAAAACAAACTTACACTATAAACATAGGAGTTAATGTTTAATATTTACAATGTGAGAGATATTTTGTGATGGGATGAAAACACCCTTGTAGAGGTTGACAATTAGCTTGGTCACTAGGCCGCTAGATTCCCTAATTAATTTAAGTAGGGTTGGTGGATTTAATTATATACTCCCTCCGTCCCCCAATTAAGTTCCTCATTTCCTTTTTGGATAGTCCCTGGATTAAGTTTCCCTTTCCTTATTTAGCAAATTAACTACGTCAAAACAGTGCCAAACAGTGCAAAACGGTGCCAAACAGTGTCCAAACTGTGTCAAAACAGTAAAGTTTACCCCCCCAGTAAATTTTTCCTTAATAAGAGTAAAAAAAATGGGGAACTTGATTGGGGGACGGAGGAAGTATTTATATTAGCCATCCAAAGCAAACAGCTAGAATCATCAGTTTGACCAGCTAGTAAAAAGAAATTGCCAATATAATCGGTTTGACTAATCGTTGGTTCCACCAACGAGGAATACACAAACCCTAGACATCGCTAGGAAGAAGCCACATATAATAATGTGAAAATACTAACTGATGAAGTTTAATTCCAATTACAAGAGCTAATTTACAAGATATAGAGTACTTGGGCAGCGTAAGGCAGCTCTTTTATTAATCAGAGAGGCGGATCCCTTTTAGGTAAGTACAAAACGTATTTATAGACATAGAGCCACAGTAGTCTAAGGAGACATAACCGGTACAATAAATAGGTTATAAAGAATGATCAGATTTCTCTAATTTATCCCATAATTCTCCATTTATTACTTCTTTATGTCTACGTCTCTTCTATTAAGTCTCTGTTGTTGCCAGATAGCTATGATAGATATGCCACATAAGCCCTAGGGTGAGCTCGAATTCGACCTTGACCTCGCTAGAACTCTTCCCAGGCTCGAGGCTTGCTGATCAGGTCAGCCTAATGTGGGTTCCTTTCACTGGTCGTGATCCCTTGTTAGGCCTAGTTGGCTCAGTTAGTTAGTTAATCCCAATTAATCGGTTTGGTTTATTGATCTCGTGTAATGGGCTTCCGCATGATACATAATTGGGTCATGGTCAAAGTTCACGGTACCATCGCTAACAAAAGAGGTTTGATGAGTAGAAAGAAATTTGAGAAGATCGGAGAAGAGGGGAGATGACTACATTTTTTTACCTTTCTCCTCTCCCCAAGTCTACGAATCTAAAGTGAAAGATGTGTATGCTATCAAATTAAAAGTTCGTTTAATAACATTAAAATGTGCTAAATTCACTAAAACTGCAGAAATTAATGAAATTTTGGATAAGATGGTTAAATTGACTAAACCTGCTAAATTATGGAGAAATATTGTTGTAACCATATCTTATTAATATAATTGAGAAAAATTTATATGAAAATAGTTAAAATGACTCTCCAAAACAATTCAATCAGAAAAGTAACTTTAACATTACTTATTTTGATTATTATACAATTTAGTTCAGACGAGACGAGGCGAGGTCAGACTTACATGTTTGATATAAAATTTGACTGGACTAGTTCAGACGAGACAAGGTCCCGACTTAAATAGACCGAATCAGACTTGGAAAATTTCTATCCAATTAAAAACATCCTTAGATCAATGGATCACTATAAATGAGTTTAAATAACATTAGTTGCGATTTTGGGGGTTGACTCACAAATGGGAATGTCTAATATTGAATCTCATCAATGTGTGTCCGAAAACTGTGCAGGGAAAATTATCTTGACGAAGTTGTTGATTACTTATTGGGAGATATGAAGAAAAAGTTGTTGTTTGTTTGGGTAAGTTGAAATATATCCCTTTACGAATTGAATTGCAGTTTTGCGAAGTTTAAGATTAATTAACACTAAATTTAATTCATTCTTACGAATAATTAAAGAGTTTTTTATAAGAATATTACTAAAATAAAACTTATTTACATAAATATGACTATTCATTACTACAACGTAGTGTTGTGGTAACTTAAGTTCAAAACTTGAATATGAATTACTATGATTTCATTACTACTCTAATAATTAGTCATATTTTTATAAACCATCTTTATTTTAGTCATATTAATGTAATTGTTTCATAATTAAATCACTCGAAGGAGTAAATGTTTGTTGGGAATCAAGTGGTTGACTTCACTAAATACGGTGCAACCTAATTGGAAGGATATGTTTATGATTTTCTACCTAGGTGGGAAAAGATAAAGCTCCAACCAGAGACGGATCTAGGGCATTGGGCCGAACTGAGGCCCTAACTACGCCCCTGACTCCAAGGGATTCGCTCCACTAGCAAACTAGAGGGTGCAAATAAATTCTGGACACACCTATGCCCCAAACATGGTTTAGTCCCTTTTATTAATTGGAATATAGGATATTTTTATTGCAATTACCACTTCACCACCTTTTCAAACCAAACCCATTCTGTATCCAAATTCTATTCCCTCAAATATCCGGCCACATTGTTATATTTCTCACCAGAAACCAAAGATTGCATCTCTACGGATAATTAAATCAATTTTAATAATTAAGAATTACATATTCGGTAAATACATTGAAAGTTCTATAAAGTCACAAATCCAAATTAGTGTTTAATAAAAAATGATGTGCTAAATAATTGATAAAGTGAAACTATTTTAACCAAAGAAAAGATGACTTAGCTTTGCAAATTAATTTGGAACGGAGTATCACATGAATACTTGAAAGCAGGTCAGTTTGGATTAATTTGCCTTTTCTTATTAAGTGTGTTTTTGTTGTGATGTACGTTTTTGGTAATGAAACTTGTAGGATAGGTCCTATTGTACCCGAACAGGATTTATGACCCCTGAGAACAGGTATATACCCTTAGCCTGTAAGGAGTTGAAGAAGATTTGGGGGAATGAGTGTCCCAACCAACCTTTTGTGGGAGGTTACTACAATGAATCAAACACGCTGTTAGTGGATGACTCTCCATACAAGGCTGTGCTTAATCCTGTAAGTACATCAATTATTGAATACAAATGGTTCTATTAAACTTAGTTCTAGTTTAATTTAACATATCTTCCATACCTTTAAGAAGTTCTTACATTAATTAGTGGAAGTAGATATTTGTAGTTATTATTAAGATGGCCGGAGTAGGCCATATTTAGGTTTTAAGGTTTTATATACCGGTATTAGCTAAGGTTGTTTCCATCTTTTATTTTCGATCTATCCCACTAAGATTGTCTCATACCAATTTGGTGAAATTTGTGTGGTTCCAAATTATTCTTTATCAATTCAATATCAATTATATAAAGCTATTTTTCTTAATAACCATACCACCTTCTCATATCATGTCCCAAGGTTAGTGGGATGGAAATAGTATTAGTGATTGCTCTTGAGATTCAATTCTAAAATATAATTTGAAATAGTTTTTAGTAATCATGAAATGAATATATGTTAGAAAAAAGTTACAGAAATACCTATTATATGATAAGATAATGCAAAAAATTACAATAACCCATTGTTGGAAATACATATACATAAAGCGGAAGCAATACAAGAACAAATCAAATGAATTGTTCTATATTCCAGGACCTTCATCATATTGAATAATAGAGTATAATAAGATTACTACCTGGATCCATAGCGAAGCCGCAGGAGGAATGGAACAAGGTAGATGGCGTCTGGATCTTCCTCAATTGAACTCGAGGCCTAAGTCTCTCTTCCGATGGGGAGAAGAGAAGTGAGTTGGTGTAGTTCAATGTATTGGGGACCATAGCCTATTTATAGAGTGTGTTGGTCTAGCTAGGGCTCCCATTAAACCCTAACAAGCAACACGGGCCTCTGCCCATTTATTTGGCCCATACAATTTATCTTAATAGTCTATTGGGCTTAATTAGATAATATTGACCACATAAATAAAACCCAATTGATAAATAGCTAATACAATAATTATAATATTAGCCCATATTAATTATTGAAATAAAATATTCCAACAATCTCCCACTTGGGCTACATATTGTAATTATATTTCTTTAGGCGCGCCTTAGTATGCTATTTATCTTTAGACTTGAACTTAGTCAATCTGGTCCACCTCATGTATTAATAATGGAATTACTGCGGCTTTTGTCATATTGTTAATTCATGACTAAACCACAACAACCACCATAAAAAATACAATTGATGACATAGATCTGTATGGGTGAGCAGCATGAAAATTACATGTGAAGTGGTCTCCATCATGCCTATTTTCAACTGGTCCAACTTTAGTCTTTATTGAGATTAACCTTAGATCTCTTAAGTGTAAATTAAATATTACACTCAACTAGATACAAAAAAAATGTTAGCTATAAAGCTAATAAACTTTATTTCTGCAGAAACTTTGAATTTTTTTTTTGTATCAATGGAAAAATAAAGCATAAAAGAACAACTCCCACTCAACTAGACAACATCGGCAACCACACCCATATGAGTTCTATGCTCATGAAAAACTTTAGGTGGTAATCCCTTAGTCAGTGGGTCTGCAATCATCAAGTTTGTTCCAATATGTTCTATAGACACTTCTCCATTTTGGACTCTCTCTTTAACAACTCGAAATTTGATCTTAATGTGTCTTGTCTTGGTGGAGCTCTTGTTGTTATTGGAATACAACACTGCAGATTTATTATCACATAATATCTTTAGTGGCCTTTCAATTCCATCAACAACTCGCAATCCCATGACCAAATTTCGCAACCATAATGCATGAGCGGATGCCTCAAAACAAGCTATAAATTCCGCTTCCATGGTAGAAGTGGCTATGATTTCTTGTTTAGCACTTTTCCAAGATATAGCTCCTCCAGCAAGTAGGTAAACATAGCCTGAAGTGGATTTAGAACTATCTTGGCACCCAGCAAAATCGAAGTCAGAGTACCCGATGATCTCTAACTGATCCGACCTCCTATATGTGAGCATGTAGTGTTTTGTTCTTTGAAGATAATGCATAACCCGTTTGGCTGCCTTCCAATGATCCATTCCTGGGTTGCACAAATATCTTCCTAACATCCCACCAATGTACGCAATATCCGGACGCGTACAAACTTGAGCATACATTAGACTCCCTACTGCCGACGCATAGGGTATCTTATGCATTTCCTTACTCTCAAAGGTATTCTTGGGGCACTGCTCGAGACTGAATTTATCTCCTTTAGAAATAGGGGTATCAGCTGGTTTACATTCTTGCATGCCAAATCTCTTAAGAATTCTTTCAATATAGATTTTTTGTGACAAACCAAGAGTACCCCGAGAACGATCTCGTTGTATCTCGATTCCTAATACAAAAGATGCTTCACCAAGATCTTTCATTTCAAATTTCTTTGAAAGAAATCTCTTAGTTTCATGCAATAAACCTATATCATTACTGGCAAGCAATATGTCATCAACATATAGCACAAGGAAAATGTGCTTACTCCCACTGAACTTATGGTATATGCAATCCTCAACTGCATTCACCTCAAAACCAAATGAGATGATCACTTCTTGGAACTTAAAGTACCATTGACGAGAAGCTTGCTTAAGTCCATAGATGGATTTCTTTAATTTGCATACCATTTTCTTTGCATCTCCCGATACAAATTTTCTGGTTGCATCATATAGATTGTTTCATCAATATCTCCATTGAGGAACGCTGTCTTTACATCCATCTGATGTAACTCAAGATCAAAATTTGCAACTAACGCCATTATTACTCTAAAAGAGTCTTTAGAAGAAACTGGAGAAAAATTCTCTTTATAGTCAATGCCTTCCCTTTGAGTGAAGCCCTTAGCAACAAGACGAGCTTTGAATCTTGTTATATTACCCTTTGAATCTCTTTTGGTTGTAAATATCCATTTACAACCAACAAGTTTCACACCTTCAGGTAATACGACAAGTTCCCATACGTCGTTGTCTCTCATGGACTTAATCTCATCATTCATGGCATTGATCCACTGTTGAGAATTAGAACTTTGCATAGCTTGACTAAAGTTGATTGGATCCTCTCCAGTCAAGCCTATGCCCTCCTCATGTTCTTGGAGAAATACAATATAGTCGTCTGGAATTGCATTTTTCCTTTCCCTAGTGGATCTCCTTAATGGCACTTCTTGAGGTTGTTGGGTTTGAACTAAAGGTTGTTCTATGAAAGGAATTTCAATGTTGTCTTGAACTGGAGTGGTGTTAGGTGTTAAAGCCTGAGCACCATTATCATTAATTGGATCTGTTTCTTGAGCAATGATGGGTATGAATACTTGTTCATTGCTAATAACAGATTCTTCAAAAACAACACTTTTATTATTTCCTTCCCCCCCAAACTCAACATCCTCAATAAATCTTGCATTTCCCGTTTCAAAAAATGATCTTGTATTAGGATTGTAAAATTTATACCCGCGAGAGCACTCCGCATAACCAACAAAGTAGCAACTAACCGTCTTTGCCTCTAGCTTACTTTCATGCGGCCTATAAGGCCTTGCTTCAGCTGGGCATCCCCAAATGTGCATATGCCTTATGCTGGGTTTCTTTCCAGTCCAAAGCTCATAAGGGGTTTTAGTGACTACTTTACTTGGCACCCTATTAAGAATATAAACCGCAGTCTTTAATGCTTCCCCCCAAAGAGACTCCGGTAAAGAAGAATGACTAATCATACTTCTTACCATATCCTTAAGAGTCCGATTTCGCCGCTCAGCAACTCCATTCATGCTTGGTTTTCCAGGCATTGTATATTGCGGGACGATTCCACATTCTTTGAGAAAAATGGCGAAGGGTCCTAGACGTTGCTCACCTGATCCGTCATATCTACCGTAGTATTCACCACCACGGTCGGATTTGACAGCCTTAATTTTCTTTCCTAATTGAAGTTCAACTTCAACTTTGAAAGACTTGAAAACGTCTAAAGACTGTGACTTCTCATGAATCAAATAAAGGTAACCATACCGAGAGTAATCGTCTATGAACGTAATAAAATATTTTTGTCCATTCCAAGATTCTGTAGGGAAAGGACCAAAAATATCTGTATGTATTAGTTCTAAGACGTCTTTAGCTCTTTCGGAACCAAAATTCCTTTTGTTTGTCTGTTTTCCCTTAATACATTCAACACAAACTTGAAAATCTGAGAAGTTTAAGGGTCCGAGAATTTCTTCAGACACAAGCCTCTGAATTCTTTGTTCAGATATATGACCTAAACGCTTATGCCATAAAATAGCAGAATTCTCATTTAACTTTCGTTTTGTACCACGTGAGTATGTATGCAATATTTCACTATAGGAGGGCTCAATATCAAGCATATAAAGATTATCAAATAAAGACCCATAACCTACAATATCTGAATTATAAGAGAGACTAACTTTATTATCTCTGAATGAACAAGAGTAACCGGATTTGTCCAAAACAGAAATAGATATTAAATTCCGCCTAATAGACGGTGCAACAAAAGTCTCAATTAAATCCAAATAAAAGCCAGTCTTTAAAAGTAATCTAAAAGTTCCTATAGCTTGAACTTCAATTTTATTGCCATCCCCGACATAAATGTACTTTTCAGTATCATTTGGTGGACGGCTCCATAGACAACCCCGCATAGACATACTTATGTGGGTAGTAGCACCAGAATCTACCCACCACATATCTTTAGGTACAGAAACTAAATTAATTTCAGAACAAACAAAAATGAGAGGTTTATCCTTCTTCGCATTGGCGGTAAAGTTAGGAACATTTATAGTAGCAACTGGATAAAATAATAACATATTAGTATGCGCATCAAATTATTAACAAAACACACACACACATTTAACCTTTGTGAAATTAAAAAACCCATACAAGATACCTAGTGCAACATTAAACCCCAATCTTTGGATTGGTGGGATAATTGCTATTGGTACTCTCAATGCATTAATCAAATATTGGTGATAAATCCTGTCAAATAATGGTTGCCTTTGGGCATTCCACTATATACATGGAATGGAAAATAATATTTAAAAATAAGTATATTCCTCTTTATAATCACCACATATTTATTATTGCAAGTATGTAAATAATCCGGTCAAATTAAGTCTTCCTTTGGGCCGATCATAATTCACATGAATCATCACATACTAACATCTATGATAAAAAAATAATTGAACTAGTCAATCCAACAGAGGTTACTTTGGCAACATGTGGTTTAAGTTCATCCAATTAAAAAATTATCAGACAATTTCATTTAAATGGGAGGTCTTAAAATTTTCACATTCTTTATTACTGAACAAGAGATAACTCTCTTTAATGTTATAATATGTATAACCGAAAAACCGAAGGCACAAAGCATTAGCCATTAAAAAAACGGATATATGTATAATTAAATATGATCGTATGCAATTATATCATACCGATAACGTATATACACCCATGTTTAACATAACCATTAATCCATCACATACATTTGACTGATTAAATAAAAGCTGTGCTATACGTGTGATATTTGTAACAAATATATTTTAATATTTGCACGTACGTATTACTTAAAAAATCTAATTTAAAGTATATAATTTTAACACATACACGTATAAAAAAACTAAATCACAATTAACTTGATAATTAGTTTAAATATTAGCTATCTCATCACAAGATACCTAGCGCAACATCTAATCTTGTCTTTGGACATAAATTAGACTTGCAAGTGGTACTCTTGGTGAAATAATAAAAAAAAATTGATAATAAAATCATGTCAAATATTAAACCTTTCTTTGGACCGACTTAATATTCACATGAAAACTTCATAATTATCACAAATTTTATTATCACAAATGTACTTAAATTTCGGCCAAATAATAACCTTCCTTTGGGCCGATTATTATCCGCATGAAATATGAAAGTGCATAGTCATCATCTTAATATATGAGTTACTTAATTTCTACAAGAAAGACTACTTTAGTAGCATGGTTTGTTGATAAACCAACTCAAATATTAGACATGCTAACATTAAACCAATTTAAATATAAGGTACATATTTACTTATCATATATGCCGTATATTTGAAATACATACGTATGTGTACTTAACATATATAATATAGTATATTTTACTATAAAATAGACTTACCATTTACATGCATATGTATATCCGTATGTAATACTTAATGCCTTAATTAAACTTTAATATGGTATAATTAAAACTTAACATATACATGCTTGTGATATTATGATGGCATAACATACTCCATTGAACATCACGTATGATCTTACACACATATGACTAATTTTAATAACAACAAAATTCAATCGTACATGTCACATATGTATATATACATTATAAAATTGAAAACAAATTAAAGTTTCAATCATGTTGAGTAAGCATGCATATGGCTAATAAAACCATAGCCTTATAGCTTTAAACTCACATAATACATAATTTTAATCCGTTAATCACAACGACCAATTAAAAAAAAAATATAATCACAAGAAAAAATATTTCTGATGAGACATATATTGGCCGCAATTACATATAAGTATTTAATTACCAAAACTGGTAATCACAAATATGTACTTAATTACCAAAACCATATAAAATTTCAAAAAATTGAATCACCGAAAAAACGAAACATATAAAAATTGATACACACATATTACGTAACGGCTGAATCCAAAAGTGATTCCATATCAAGTTAATTCCTTAAATAAAAAAAAGGAACTCAAAATATGATTCACTATAAATCAACTCAGCCATAGTAATTCAATCACAAGAATGAAAAAAAAAATCATTAGCGTGCATGTGGCTCTTCAATTCAAGACTCAAGCAACGTCAAAAATTGGAAATAAATCTCTCCAATTTACTTGATCCACAAATTGCCGGCCGAACAATAAAAGAAATACATAAAAGAAATCATCAAAATCTGGAATATCCCTACGGATTCCAATTCAATATACCAATCAAAAACTCAATTGTTCCCATAAGTCATCAACTGCCAAACTTATGAATATATAGGAACGAATTACATAAAAGTAATTTCGCATTACCCTAATTTCATTCAATTCGGCAGATCATATGACATAAACAAAAAAAAGTATATATTTTTTTTTTATCCCGGAAGGCCAACCACCAAAATCAGTGGGGCAAACGCCGGGGAACGTTTGCCGGTATTTTATTGATAATCCAAAACCAGTACAATCAGAAGAGGGGGACTATACCGAAACCTCCTCCAAAGGGGCATTCCCCTTTTCGAAAAACACCTATTGAAAACTGTTAAAAGAAACTAAAGTAGCTCAGACCCAATTTATCAGCAATTAAAGTGCGTCTAATATGAATTAAGTGGAAGTTGTCTAGCATTATTAAAAATAACCAGATCAACAGATTTAATCTTGGAGAGGAAGTGAGCAGTCCAATTAATCTCACGTGGTATATGCCTGAAATACAGATTCGAACTAACCTTCCACCTTCTTAGATCCTCTACCATTTTCGACCACCGTCCCTCCATCTTACCTCCCAAAATTTCATCTACCGCCACCAATGAATCCGTCTCTACCTCCACCGCCTGAAATCCTTTCTTGACCGCCCAACGAACAGAAAGATGAAGCGCCTGCATTTCCGCGTCTAGAGCTGATGTTGCAGATATAGGAAAATGAAAAGCTACCTCCAACTCACCTGACCTGGATCTTAATACCGCTCCACCTGAAGCACCATCGGACCTGTAGGACGCGTCGATATTTAGCTTGTAATCCATCTCAGGTAACTCCCATCTGATAGCTCTAATCCTTGATTTCTTAGTCCGAAAAGATGAGGCAAGAAACCCCTCTTCATATAGGATTGAAGTAGGCTTACCAAATTTAGCTCTATGAAGTTTCACTTCAGCCCAATTCTGAGAGAAGGATTTGATTTGTCTAATAGTGATCTGCCAATTTAGAACAACATCCTCCCCACCCCAAATAATTCGACAGTAAACTTTCCAAATATGCCAAGAAATAATTCCAGCCATATTATACTTAAACACATCTATAAGGCTTCTATTCCCAGCTTCCAGCCACCATGCAATGAGCATCTGTCTCAGAGAAATTGGAATAATAGGAATAGGTATTTCAAACACCCCAAGAAAGTATTTCCAAATTTCCAAACTAAAAGAACAATTAACCAACACATGATCCATCAAATCTGAGTCCTGTTTACAAAAGGGGCATCTAGTAGGGAAGACAGCAATGTTGAACTTACTCATGTTATCTGGAAATGGAAGTATTCTATTAAGAGCTTTCCATTGAAAAATTTGAACTTGATTATGTTGATACTTATTCCAGGCATGCTTGAAGGAAAAAATAGAACTGCTGGTTCTTCTCACACTATGAAATGCTGAGGATAAAGTGAACCTGCCATCACTTTCTGGTAACCACAATAGTTCCCCATCCTGATTGTGTGTACTAAGAGCTTGCCCCAACTCATGAATTCTGCAAACCCGTTTCCAAATATTTGAATCTGCTTGCTTTGGTATCATATTTGTGCCCCTTGGGTATTTAGCATTACAAAAGGTGGCCCAAAAAGATTTATTACATCGCCATTTCCACCAAAGCTTCAAAGAATAAGCTTTTTCAATGTCAATAAGGGACCTTATATTCAGACCACCTTCATCATAAGGCAAACAAATATCCTTCCATCTAATCCAGTGAAATTTATTTTTTGTAGCATTGGAGCCCCAAAGAAAATGTGACATTTTCTTTTCCAAACATTTACTAACTGCCTTGGGAAGTGTGTCTACCGCCAGAGTGTGTAAAGGGATAGTATTTAAGACATATTTGATTAAAATAAGCCTTCCTCCAAAGCTTAAATTCCTCTGTTTCCAAATAGTCAATTTTTTATCAAAGCTTTGAAGGATGTCCTTACAATAATTCTTTCTGTTGATACCTTTGTGCAGGGATGACCCTAGGTACTTCATTGGCAGACTGGTCCTTGTCATATGTAGAAGTCTCTCCATCTTCCTTATTCTGGCAAGGGAAGTTTTACCACATCCAAAGCTGCTCTTTTCAAGTCAAAGGTCCTTAATAATACTACAAGTCACCCAACTCTTGTCGATAAAGGAAAATCGATTGTGATGGAGCCAGTGATTCAGCAAATCGAGCCAACGGATATCCCTTCAACTTCTAAGGTTCCAGTGGAATCTGATACAGAGGTGGAAGAGGTTTTCACTGAAACTGGGGACCATCCTGAACCTTCCAATCTTCAACATACAGATTTTGTTTTGCCTTCTTTTCACAAGCATGAATCCATTACAGAAGGTATTTCTCCGTCTGAAATTTACCAAACAAAGAGGGCATCAGATGATTACAAATTGATGCAAATTCTTAAACTACAAGAGTATGATCCAACTATTTCTGCAAAGGGGTACTCATCGGATGGAGATGGAGGTTTTATTGAAAATTGTCAAGCGTGGAGGAAGGGTCAGAAGGTGCTTACCTCTAAAATCAATGCTCTCCTGCAACGGAATTCCTCATCGCAGACGGATTCTGAGTTATTAGCAAACCTGACAACAAATAATCATACCAAGACGGATGGTTTTATCACAGTGGCAAGGAGGAAAAAGAAGAAATCAATACAGATTGTTCCAGACACTCCTAGAATCACTAGGAATGCAGCAAAAAAGCTGGCTCTAGCTTTTTCTGCCATTCCATGATGAATTGCCTTCTTTGGAATGTTCGTGGTCTTGTTTCTTCCTGTCCAAGACTACGAGATTTAATTAGACAGTGGAGTATTCAATTTTTAGTTACTATTGAACCAATTGTTTCTTCTTATAAAATAGATGAGATTGCTAATCAGATTGGGTTAAAGTCTGCATTTTGCTGTGATGAAAATAAAATCTGGTTGTTTTGGGATAAGACAAAGCTGGATATTTCAGATATATCTACCGGTAGCCAATTTATTCATATGAAAATCCATAGTGGATCTTTTGGTTACTGGTTTACGACTATTTATGGAAGTCACAGTTATATTGATAGAAGAGAACTTTGGCAATTTTTGGAAAATTGGGCTGGGAATAATAAAGATCCTTGGGTTGTTGGTGGTGACTTCAATGCTATAGCATATCAGGGAGAACACAAAGGTCACAATATCCCTCTTTTAAGCAGTATGAATGAATTCAAGGACTGTCTAGCTAATAGTGATCTGATTGATTTACCTTTCATTGGATCTCCTTTTACCTGGTCTGGGGTTAGACCCAATGGAAGAGTGTGGCGCAGATTGGATAGGGTTTTATTTAACTCTTCATTCTTGGGGTTGTATGATACCATTCAGATTAGCCATCTCAATAAGACATCTTCAGATCACTCTCCAATCCTGCTGCAATGTAAAAATCAGTTAGTAGTGGGTCCAAAACCGTTCAAATTTCAGAATATGTGGATTTCTCATCCCACCTTTTTAGAAGTTGTCAGAAAAGAGTGGGATGCATGCACTACAGGAGGGGGTATGAGAGGTTTATATAATAAACTGCAAAACCTTAAAAAGGCCCTGAATGTCACGCCCCGGACCTAACCGGACACGTCAACAATCCGCCGTACAGTACGAATAGTCAACCGCAGTCCAACACATCCATACTATACAAGGCGTCTGGAATATCATTCACACATAGTACATCCATAAACAACATAATGTAAAATAATCATTTAAAGCAGCGGAAATGTTCAATACAAATGTGCACGCCACACCTTTCGCAACATGGGCATACAAGCCCTAATACATATTAAAGAAAAACAATATCCATGAGCATGGTTTAAATCGTTTTCAAAACAGAAACAGAAGAAGCACGAACCACGTCTTCTTCTCTTGAATTCTCCGATGCAACGGGCGGTAGCGGCAAGCTTTAATCCCGACCTGAAACTGTGAGGTGGCCTCCCCCGTGAAGGGGAGGTCAGTACTTGGAAGCATTTGACAAGTACAATGACAACTATACTAAGTATAATCAAAGTTTCAATTTCCAAGACCCTCAACTTAGGATGTTACTATTTGAAATTTATTTATGTTCCTTCATGCTAGAGCTCGGCTCATAGTCATATTAATTTGTGCTAGAGCTCGGCTCATAGTCACACCACATTTCGCTAGAGCTCGGCTCATAGTCATTCCTACATTTTTGTGCTAGAGCTCGGCTCATAGTCACACTACATTTTGCTAGAGCTCGGCTCATAGTCATTCCTACATTTTTGCTAGAGCTCGGCTCATAGTCATACTACCACGTGCTAGAGCTCGGCTCGTAGTCACGTCATCTAATCCCTAAACCACTTCTTAGTCTAGGCTCCATTCTTTTTTGAGTACCCTTGAGGTCTACTCCTAACATAACTTGACTTCGTAAAGTCCACCCTAATTATCCTTTAAGGTTACTTAGCTTCAATATCTTGGGATTAGCTCCCAAGCACTATTGAACTAACATCCCCGACTAGTCTTCAATACTAGTCGTCCAGTCTTAATAAGCCAACGCCAATTTCATAATAATTCATACATTTCAATTTAATTTCACATTCAAGTATAACTTGATTCAATATCAAAATATCACTTTTATTCCCTTCATGAGGTAAAAGCATATTTATCACCATACAATTTTATAACTTACACCACAATTGGGTCATTATAATCACAACACATAATTATACACGATTTATTCTTAAATTTGTATATTATGCATTTTCTTTTATGAACAATACTATATTCCATTTTAGGCATTCTTAATCATAAATAACTCATGCCAAACACATATAATTCATTTAGGCAATCTTATGAAATTAACCCACTAATTATAAACAATATAGTCGGTCATCCTCACCTTAAGTGAGCTCCCGCGCGTTCTACGCTCCCCGGTTGAACTTTGACTAGTTTCCGGTGAACTTTGACCAACTCCGGCGAACTTTGACCAACTCCGGCGAAACTCCGGCGAGGCTCAAAATACTTTAAATCAAGTTCCTAACAAGGTTTTAACATCATAAAACATTAATCAATACAAATAACCTCTAAAAGGTTATTTTCCGGTGAACTTGTCGGTTTGGCTCCTAAGTCCGTTCTTGGACTTAGAACTACTTTCCAACCCATCATTCCACACTTTTATCAAGTAGAACAATCCCAAGGATTCTCCATAAGATATACATCTCATATGATAGAAGAAAAATAAAGGAAAAGTCAATATAAGGTTATTACCTTAATCTTTCTCACTTTTCCTAGCTTTTTCTCCCTTTAATCTTTCCCCTTGGATCCCTAATGTTGGAGCTCTCTTCAAGGATTGGAAAGGAGGATGGAGGTTTTCTTTTTTTTTCTTGCTTGGGTTGTGCTGGCCGAGAGAGTGATTGAGGGAGAGAGAGAGAGGATTTCATTGTCTCAATAGTATGAGTGGAGTGGGGGGAGAGGGCCACCTTAATTTGTTTGATCCCCTTCTAATCAAATTCCACCCCTTCCCATACCCCTCCAGCCGACCAAGCCTCCTAATGGAGTGCCCAAATTCGTGGGTTGGCCCCCACCCATGTGGGAGGTCAACCCTTTTTGTCCCAAAGTGCACAATCGGTCCCGAAAGTTGTATTTTTCGGACTGTTTTAAATATATTTTACTTTATCGGGTCAAATAAAATATATTATGTGTTTCTTAATCATTATGACCCTTATAATGAATATAAATTTCCCAAACTTAATTTATAGTCTCCGAAATTCATTTCGGGCTTTTATCCGTTAAATTACCAGTAACGGTATTTTGGCCTTTTTGATCAACCGGTCAACTCTATATCATCTCTTTGGACCAATAAATTATCCACCACTATATAAATATTATATTGACCAAGATGAATAAAATATACGGTCTCGGGAATATCGGGCGGCCCCCGCTCCCGGTGTGGGCCCCATGTGCGAATTTACTATTCACACAAAATAATTAATAAAAATTCACAACTCCGTATTCTCATTAACCATTATACAAGGTTCAATACATTATTCACTTACAAGTAAATACATTTGGGGACGGTGTTACAAGTTCACCCCCCCTTATTTGGGATTTCGTCCCCGAAATCCACGTGTCTAATCGAAAAGAAACGGGTATTGCTCCCTCATTGAGACCTCCGTCTCCCAGGTTTCTTCTTCGACTCGATCACTCCTCCAAAGAACCTTCACCATTGGAATCTCCTTGTTCCTCAATTTCTTCACTTGTTGCCCGACAATCTCCACCGGTTCTACTGCATATTGTAGATCTTCACGTATCTCTACCGGTGGCTTCTCAAGAATATGAGATGGATCTCTCACGTATTTCTTGAGCATCGATACGTGAAACACGTCGTGTATCTTCTCAAGTTCTGGCGTCAACTTCAGACGGTATGCCACGGCCCCTATCCTTTCAAGAATTTCAAATGGGCCAATGTATCGGGGGTTGAGTTTTCCCCTCGATATAAATCGGATGATACCCTTCCAAGGGGAAATCCTTAGGAAGACCTTATCACCGACCTCGAACTCCAATGGCCTTCGTCGTTTGTCGGCATAACTCTTCTGCCGATCTTGGGCAGCCTTGAGTCTATCCTGAATGACTTTCACCTTAGCCTTGGTGATTTCAACAAGTTCAATCCCTTCGAGCTTGGCCTCGCCAACCTCGTCCCAACACAACGGTGTCCTGCATTTCCTCCCATACAATGCCTCATATGGAGGCATGCCAATACTCGCCTGATAACTATTGTTATAGGCGAACTCTACTAGAGCCAAATGTTTGTCCCAACTCCCCTGGAACTCCAAAGCACATGCCCTAAGCATATCTTCTAAAATCTGTATCACCCTCTCGGATTGCCCATCCGTCTGTGGATGAAAAGCTGTGCTAAACTTCAGTTTAGTACCCAAAGATGCTTGAAACTTGGGCCAAAATCGAGATGTGAATCGTGGATCCCTATCCGAGACAATGGATATCGGGACTCCATGTAGTCTCACAATCTCCTCCGTGTATAGCTTTGCCAATCTCTCAAGAGGATAAGTAATGTTGATAGGCAAAAAGTGTGCACTCTTGGTGAGCCTATCAACCACTACCCATACTGCATCATAGTTGTTCACTGTTCGTGGTAGCCCCACCACGAAGTCCATGGTCACATGCTCCCACTTCCATTCTGGAATGGTTAGTGGCTGCAAAAGCCCCGCCGGGTGCTGATGCTCTGCCTTAACTTGTTGGCAAGTAAGGCATCGACTCACGTACTCTGCGATATCCCTCTTCATACCCGACCACCAGTAACTTTCCTTCAAGTCTCGGTACATTTTAGTACCTCCTGGATGCATAGCATATGCCGAAGAGTGAGCCTCCTCCAGGATAGACTTTTGGAGCTCTTCACTCTTTGGTATGCACACACGGTCTTTAAACAACAAAAGACCGTCATCACGTACCCGAAAGTTCTCCACGGGCCCTTCAAGGATCCTCTCGCGGATCTTCTGGCATTCTTCATCAGTGGCCTGACATCTACTGATCTCACTCAGCAATGTAGGCCTAACCTCGAATCTAGCAATGAGGACCCCACTCGTGGACACCTCCACTTGTGCCCTCAAAGTTCGTAGACATGTGAGTAATGTCCCCGACGTACTTTTCCTGCTCAGTGCATCGGCCACTACATTGGCCTTTCCGGGATGATAGTCGATGACCAAGTCATAGTCCTTGATCAACTCCATCCATCTCCTTTGTCTCATATTCAACTCTTTCTGAGTGAATACGTACTTCAAGCTCTTATGATCGGTAAAGATGTGACATGTCTCCCCATAGAGGTAATGCCTCCAAATCTTTAGTGCAAACACTACCGCCCCCAACTCTAGATCATGGGTAGGGTAGTTCGCCTCGTGTTTCTTCAATTGCCTAGAAGCATAGGCAATCACCCGACCGTTTTGCATCAGTACACATCCAAGCCCTTGGATGCTAGCGTCACTGTAGATATCATACCCTATTCCCTGTATAGGTAGGGCTAGTACTGGTGCATCGGTAAGTCGTTTCTTCAGTTCAAGGAACCCTTTCTCACACTTGTCGTCCCAAATGAACTTGGCCCCTTTCTTTGTGAGCTTCGTTAATGGAGACGCCAATACGGAGAATTTTTCCACAAATTTACGATAGTATCCCGCTAAGCCAAGGAAACTACGTATCTCTTTCACATTCTTGGGCCTCTCCCAATCCATAATAGCTTTAATCTTGGCGTTGTCCACGGCAACGCCCGAACCGGATATGACGTGACCGAGGAAACCAATCTCTTTGAGCCAAAATTCGCATTTTGAGAACTTGGCAAAGAGTTGCTTTTCCCTTAACCGATCAAGTACAAGCCTCAAATGGTGTTCGTGCTCCTCCTCGCTCTTGGAGTATATCAAGATGTCGTCAATGAATACTATCACGAATTGATCTAAGTATTCACTAAACACACGGTTCATCAAGTCCATGAATGCCGCCGGTGCGTTGGTTAAACCAAACGACATCACAAGGAATTCGTAATGACCATATCTAGTGCGAAATGCACTCTTAGGTATGTCACTCTCCTTGATCTTCAACTGATGATACCCCGACCTCAAGTCAATCTTCGAGAACACTATTGCCCCTCGAAGTTGGTCGAACAAGTCATCAATCCTCGGTAAGGGATACCTGTTCTTGATGGTGACCTTGTTCAACTGTCGGTAGTCAATACACATTCTTAGTGTACCATCTTTCTTCTTTACGAATAGTACGGGTGCTCCCCACGGTGAATGACTGGGTCTGATGAACCCGTTGTCCAATAGTTCTTGTAGTTGGACCTTCAACTCTTGAAGTTCGGCCGGTGCCATTCGATAAGGAGGAATCGAAATGGGTTTGGTTCCCGGCTCCACTTCGATTACAAATTCAATCTCTCTATCGGGTGGAAGCCCCGGTAGGTCCTTGGGAAAGACGTCCGGGTACTTGCACACGACTCGAACATCCTTGATGTCGACTTCTTTCTTCGTATCATCTACCACGTAAGCAAGGTATGCGTGGCACCCTTTTCTCATCATCTTCCGTGCTCTCATCACGGATATGATGCAAACATTTGATTTCCCCCGATCTCCTTCGAAACATAGCGTGTTTCCTTGCTCATCCTCGAGCTCCAACACCTTGGTGTAGCAATCTACTCGAGCATGGTGCTTCTCAAGCCAATCCATTCCTAGGATTGCATCGAACTCCAACATGCTTAGAGGTACGAAATCACAAGTCAAGGGTTGACCCGTCACTTCCACCTCACACGATGGATAATAATGATTTCTCTCCACATCGTCCCCTAACGGTGTGGAGACTAGCAACGTTTGCGTCATAGGTGTCAATGGCACGTCAAGTCCCTCGGCGAACGCCTCACTCACAAATGAGCGTTGTGCCCCGGTATCGATGAGGATCCTCGCACACCTACCATTGATCTTTAATGTTCCTACATTTATACACCATGTAAGATATATTTTCTAATGTTGTTACACATCTTTAGGAGGTTATTAAGTCAATACTAAGGTTTGGAATCAAACGGGGGTCCCAACGTAGAAGAACAGGGTGAAAAAATCAATTTTCGGGGGTTGGGGGTCCACGCACGGCGTGCCTGGGTGGCACGCACGACCGTGCGTGCAACGAACTAACTTTGCGTGCCACTGCCGGCCGGGCACGATGCCAGGCACGGCGTGCCTACGGCCGTGCCTGGCCAAAAACACTTCGGACGCTACTGCCTTCCAGGCACGACGCCAGGCACGGCGTGCCTGCGGCCGTGCCTGGCCCAAAAATTTTTTTTTTTTTCTCTTCTTCGGGTGCCACTGCCTTCCAGACACGGTGCCAGGCACGGCGTGCCTGCGACCGTGCCTGGCCCAGAAATCTTCCGGTTGCCACTGCCTTCCAGGCACGATGCCAGGCACGGCGTGCCTGCGAGCGTGCCTGGCCGGCAGTGGCTGTTTCCAGATGATTTGGCCTAACTAGCCCGGTTTTGACCCCGGGGTGGCCCGCACTTAATCCCTACGACGTATATGATCAATGCAAGCCTAGAAATACATGGGAATACGTGTATTACCTGCAACGGAGTCGGGATTGGCCCGAGCATCGGCCTCGGTCATTGCGTAGACTCTAGCTTGCGTCCTTCCTTGATTCACGGACGGCGCGTTGCTGGCGCTCGCTCCCCCCTGCCCCGTATTAGCATGGGGTGCTCCGGTCCGACTTCTACTTGCCGTAGTAGCACCGCTTGATCCCGCCCCTCGATTTCCACCAAGTTGAGGGCAATTTGGTTTAAGATGCCCCGTGTCTCCACATTGGTAGCACCGAGGAGGGTCACGACACTTACCGGCGTGGCTCCTGTTGCAATTTCGGCACCTGGGCGCTGTCGAGGCTTGTGAGCCCGAGTTGTGCCCGCCGAAAGCCGAGTTTCCCTTGGATGGCGGCGCCGGTGCCCTGAACGATCCTCCTCCCCCGTGGTTCCCCTTTTTGTTAGAACCTTGTGGGCCATGGCTTTCCCACTTCCTCTTCTTCGCCTCATCGGCGTTCCTCCGCTTTCTTTCCTCCCACTCCTTCTCTCCCTTCAGGCCTTGTTCAACCACTTGACTAAACGTCATATTCGGCAATTGTGTTGCCCTCTCGCGTATGTCAAGGTCTAAGGCATCCCAGAAGTGGTTCACCATCCGGTTCTCATCACATATGTACTCCGGTATGAATTCGGCAAGCTTTCTGAACTTGTGCTCAAGTTCCTTCACCGTACATGCGCCTCCCTGTGTCAAGTTCGTATACTCCCTCCTCTTCATGTTTACCTCGAAGTCGGAGTAGTATTGGTTGAAGAACTCCTGCCGAAAGTTCTCCCATGTGACGGCTTCGCCGTATTTCCCTTTGACCCCGTCCCACCACGTGGACGCCATGCCTTCGAGCAGTCTTGTTGCCACCCTCAGTTTCATGATGGGTGGCAGCTGCATGTCAAGGGCCGCCTCGTTGAATCTTTTGATCCATTCGGCCGCAACGGAGATGTCTCCCGTTCCATCAAACGGTTTACATCCCAAATCTCGTGCTTCTTTGATAAATTTGGAGATCCTTATGGTTGGACCTCCCACATTTTGGCCTCCATGTGGTTCAACATGGACTCTAGAGGCACCTTGGCTTCCTCCTCTCGAAGCCATGCCCGAAGGTTGCCCCGTTCGGCGCCTTCGGCGTTGTCTCCTCTCTTCGCGCTCCCGGTGGTATTGTTGGAGCAGCGCCTCGATCCTACCAAGAGTGCCATCGTCTTCACTCTCTTCACTTACATCGTCATCTTCCCCATCATATGGGGTTTCCACCGGCTCGGTTTCCGGCCTATAGGTTGAGTCCTCATAGGACCAATAAGTCTCACTCTCAGTGTCCACGTGGCCATCGCTCACGGTTTGTTGTTGGCCTCCACGGCCCCTTCCCCTGGACACCCTAGTGGACCCCCGACTGCCGCGTTCGGACCCACCCAGTACACGGCCCATCGGGTTCCTCCTAGTGATCCTTCCAATTGGCTCCATTTCTGAAAGAAGTTTAGAATGAGCCGTTAGACTCGTATCAAATGTCAAGTGACGGATAGGTACTTAAAGACAACTTTTGGCTCAAATCACCGCCATGCCAATTGTTAAGGGTACCATCTTAACAATTAGAGACTTTGCAACTCAAGTACCAAAAGTTCTATAAGTACAAAACTTTATGCTCATGGTTTTCAAATTCTTTTTTTTTTTTTTCAAAAGGAATTTTGAAGCTTCATTATGAAGTTTACGGAACCTGGCTCTGATACCAATTAAATTGTCACACCCCGGACCTAACCGGACACGTCAACAATCCGCCGTACAGTACGAATAGTCAACCGCAGTCCAACACATCCATACTATACAAGGCGTCTGGAATATCATTCACACATAGTACATCCATAAACAACATAATGTAAAATAATCATTTAAAGCAGCTGAAATGTTCAATACAAATGTGCACGCCACACCTTTCGCAACATGGGCATACAAGCCCTAATACATATTAAAGAAAAACAATATCCATGAGCATGGTTTAAATCGTTTTCAAAACAGAAACAGAAGAAGCACGAACCACGTCTTCTTCTCTTGAATTCTCCGATGCAACGGGCGGTAGCGGCAAGCTTTAATCCCGACCTGAAACTGTGAGGTGGCCTCCCCCGTGAAGGGGAGGTCAGTACTTGGAAGCATTTGACAAGTACAATGACAACTATACTAAGTATAATCAAAGTTTCAATTTCCAAGACCCTCAACTTAGGATGTTACTATTTGAAATTTATTTATGTTCCTTCATGCTAGAGCTCGGCTCATAGTCATATTAATTTGTGCTAGAGCTCGGCTCATAGTCACACCACATTTCGCTAGAGCTCGGCTCATAGTCATTCCTACATTTTTGTGCTAGAGCTCGGCTCATAGTCACACTACATTTTGCTAGAGCTCGGCTCATAGTCATTCCTACATTTTTGCTAGAGCTCGGCTCATAGTCATACTACCACGTGCTAGAGCTCGGCTCGTAGTCACGTCATCTAATCCCTAAACCACTTCTTAGTCTAGGCTCCATTCTTTTTTGAGTACCCTTGAGGTCTACTCCTAACATAACTTGACTTCGTAAAGTCCACCCTAATTATCCTTTAAGGTTACTTAGCTTCAATATCTTGGGATTAGCTCCCAAGCACTATTGAACTAACATCCCCGACTAGTCTTCAATACTAGTCGTCCAGTCTTAATAAGCCAACGCCAATTTCATAATAATTCATACATTTCAATTTAATTTCACATTCAAGTATAACTTGATTCAATATCAAAATATCACTTTTATTCCCTTCATGAGGTAAAAGCATATTTATCACCATACAATTTTATAACTTACACCACAATTGGGTCATTATAATCACAACACATAATTATACACGATTTATTCTTAAATTTGTATATTATGCATTTTCTTTTATGAACAATACTATATTCCATTTTAGGCATTCTTAATCATAAATAACTCATGCCAAACACATATAATTCATTTAGGCAATCTTATGAAATTAACCCACTAATTATAAACAATATAGTCGGTCATCCTCACCTTAAGTGAGCTCCCGCGCGTTCTACGCTCCCCGGTTGAACTTTGACTAGTTTCCGGTGAACTTTGACCAACTCCGGCGAACTTTGACCAACTCCGGCGAAACTCCGGCGAGGCTCAAAATACTTTAAATCAAGTTCCTAACAAGGTTTTAACATCATAAAACCTTAATCAATACAAATAACCTCTAAAAGGTTATTTTCCGGTGAACTTGTCGGTTTGGCTCCTAAGTCCGTTCTTGGACTTAGAACTACTTTCCAACCCATCATTCCACACTTTTATCAAGTAGAACAATCCCAAGGATTCTCCATAAGATATACATCTCATATGATAGAAGAAAAATAAAGGAAAAGTCAATATAAGGTTATTACCTTAATCTTTCTCACTTTTCCTAGCTTTTTCTCCCTTTAATCTTTCCCCTTGGATCCCTAATGTTGGAGCTCTCTTCAAGGATTGGAAAGGAGGATGGAGGTTTTCTTTTTTTTTCTTGCTTGGGTTGTGCTGGCCGAGAGAGTGATTGAGGGAGAGAGAGAGAGGATTTCCTTGTCTCAATAGTATGAGTGGAGTGGGGGGAGAGGGCCACCTTAATTTGTTTGATCCCCTTCTAATCAAATTCCACCCCTTCCCATACCCCTCCAGCCGACCAAGCCTCCTAATGGAGTGCCCAAATTCGTGGGTTGGCCCCCACCCATGTGGGAGGTCAACCCTTTTTGTCCCAAAGTGCACAATCGGTCCCGAAAGTTGTATTTTTCGGACTGTTTTAAATATATTTTACTTTATCGGGTCAAATAAAATATATTATGTGTTTCTTAATCATTATGACCCTTATAATGAATATAAATTTCCCAAACTTAATTTATAGTCTCCGAAATTCATTTCGGGCTTTTATCCGTTAAATTACCAGTAACGGTATTTTGGCCTTTTTGATCAACCGGTCAACTCTATATCATCTCTTTGGACCAATAAATTATCCACCACTATATAAATATTATATTGACCAAGATGAATAAAATATACGGTCTCGGGAATATCGGGCGGCCCCCGCTCCCGGTGTGGGCCCCATGTGCGAATTTACTATTCACACAAAATAATTAATAAAAATTCACAACTCCGTATTCTCATTAACCATTATACAAGGTTCAATACATTATTCACTTACAAGTAAATACATTTGGGGACGGTGTTACACTGAAAAATTGGAATAGGAATTCTTTTGGAGATATTTTCCATGATATTAAAAAATTGGAGGCTGAAGTCACTGATGCAGAGATTATTTTTGAGTCTGACCCTACTGATGCGCATAGAGAGGACTGGTCATTTAAACAGGCTCTTCTCCTTTCTAAACATAAACAAGAAGCTGAATTCTGGAGGCAAAGAGCACATCTTAAATGGCTAAAAGAGGGGGATTCTAACACTAAGTTCTATCATGATTATGTAAATATCCTTTGATTTGAAAAGAGCAGCTTTGGCCTCCACTCGATACAAAGGGGTTCCCTCGGTGGTGTTCCCGGATGCTGATGTTCAAATCTTGGCCTCCAAACATATCAGGGCTTTGGTAGGGTATTTCTTCAAGGGACGTCCGGCCATGCCTACACTTAGGAAAGCCTTTGAATTAATTGGGTTTAAAGGTAAATTTCAACTTGGGGTCTTGGAGAAAAAACATGTGCTTATAAGGTTTGATTTGGAGGATGATTATCTTAGATGTTTTCATCGTCGAATTTGGGATATATTTGGTAATGAGATGCGAGTTACAAAATGGACTCCTGACTTTGAGCCAAATGTGGAATCCTCGGTAGTTCCAATTTGGTTGAGTTTGGAAGGCTTGCCAATTCATCTCCATGACCAGAGAGCGCTGTTTGATATTGCTAGATTGATTGGAACACCATTGAAGATCGACGCTGCCACAGCGTCATTATCTAGGCCATATTGTGCTAGGGTTTGTGTTGAGGTAGATTTATTACAAGAGATGCCTAACAAAATTTGGATCCAATGTGGATCGCGTGGCTTTTTTCAGGCTGTGATATATGAGAACAGACCTTATTATTGTGGACACTGTCTCCATTTAGGGCATTCAATTAATTCTTGCCCCAAGAGGAATAACTCCAAGGTTGCTGCTGCTCCTAATGGGAGCATTGGAGTTGATAAATGGGTTCCTAAACCCAAACTTTTGAACAAGAATGAAACCAAACACATTATAACAAAAAAAAGTATATATGAAAAAACTCCAAATAATTCAACATGAAGGAGGCTCTGATACCAATTGTTGGAAATACATATACATAAAGCGGAAGCAATACAAGAACAAATCAAATGAATTGTTCTATATTCCAGGACCTTCATCATATTGAATAATAGAGTATAATAAGATTACTACCTGGATCCATAGCGAAGCCGCAGGAGGAATGGAACAAGGTAGATGGCGTCTGGATCTTCCTCAATTGAACCCGAGGCCTAAGTCTCTCTTCCGATGGGGAGAAGAGAAGTGAATTGGTGTAGTTCAATGTATTGGGGACCATAGCCTATTTATAGAGTGTGTTGGTCTAGTTAGGGCTCCCATTAAACCCTAATAAGCAACACGGGCCTCTGCCCATTTATTTGGCCCATACAATTTATCTTAATAGTCTATTGGGCTTAATTAGATAATATTGACCACATAAATAAAACCCAATTGATAAATAGCTAATACAATAATTATAATATTAGCCCATATTAATTATTGAAATAAAATATTCCAACACCCATAACCAATAGACAAGGAATTCATGATATGCTCACTTTTATCCTTGTAAGACCTTTGTGATCGAAAAATGAAAATTTGACTTCACAAACTTTATGATGCGGCTATATAGAACGATTTACACAATTACACTTTCTCGAAAAACAACTATAGCATATTGTAACTAGTTATACAATTGATAAAATGGTTGTAAATAGGAGTAATAAAGATTGAACGTGCACACGTGGGACTCCTCTTTTTTTAGACCAAAATAGGACTTAATTTTCATTTTATTCCTATTCTACCCTTAATGAATTGTCCGCTCCAGATTTATGGCTGCGGCAGCTAGATCTGTGGGGGAGGTGGCCCGATCTGCAGCGGTGATCGTTCTGAAGCGGTGCCTGGAGGTCCGGCGAAGGTCCGGCGAAGGTCCGGCTTACTGTCAGGGATATTATGTTTAGCTAAGCTTGAGGGTATTTGTGTCTAATTACAAATAATAACTCCTATTTGGGGAAATTTTAAACTTTGGTCCTATTTTAGCAATTGATAATTGATTTAGTCCTATTGAGGTAAATATCTCTATACAATTAGGTTGATTTTAATTGGAGAGTAGATTTCTGATCTAGTCAGGTCAGATCTAGTCTGTTTAAATCAAGCATGGTCTGATAAATGTGCTCTATGTGTATTTTACCATTTTAGAAGTCTGATTTGATCTGGTTTGGACAGATTTTAATTGTTTAATGTGCTCTTTGTGAATTGTTTCGTAGGTTCACACTGCGATCTTTCCTCATTCCTACAATGAACCAACGATGATAAATGATCGATCATTAGGTAATTGTATTCCAAATCCAGTTATATATACTTTCATAATTAATCAATTATGGTTTAGTCGTTAATTATAATATTTCAGGCCCGGGAGGTGATCTTCGAGAATATTTAGAAGGGTTGGCAGGAGCTGAAGATGTGAGAAATTATGTGGAGGGTCACCCGTTTGGTCAAAAGCCCATTGACTATACACACTGCAATTGGAAAGTTTACTCGGGAATTATTAAAGCTCTCTCCGACCGTTCCTGATTATTTATTGACCATTTTTCCCTCCATGCACCCTAAAGTTCAAGTGAACTAGCATAAAATAAAAATAAGCCGTAAGTTGATCTGTCCAATAGAACTATGTTTAAGAGCCTATCCCAGTCTTTTTAATGGTATTTTTCTATGGTATTTTAATTTATATTTTGTGCAAGGAAAGTATCTCCATCACTTGACTTGCTTTTGTAGACTTCCCTCTTGAAAAAACTAAGACCTATACATAAGTATACACTATATACTACTTTGTGTGTATTTAAATTTTCATATTACATGATTGGATCTCATAGCTATCGCACCAAGCCTTGGATCGAGTGAGCATGTTGGAGTTTATCTTGATTAAATAACTTTAATGAGAAGTCTTGAGTTCAATTCCCAGTTAGGAAGATGAGGGGACAGATTGGTCGCCATGATTCTCAAGCTCCCTACCTCCACGAAGTAAATCAGCGACTGAGAAGACATATGACGACAAGGAAGGTGGTAAGTTTGTGTGGTGGAGAAGTAGCCTAGAAGAGATAGGTGATGTAAGTCTTGCTCAATTCATCATTTAGATTTAGGATCGATGAGGTTGACTTTGATCAGGTCTAGATTTACTTGTCTAGCGGTTTTCAAGGGTAGTTCGTAGATTTCAGGATAATGAGAGCGTATACTATATGACTAGTTTCAAGATAAGAGAAAGTGCATGGGAATGGAAGAGGAGCCGAATCACAATAGCGTTCTAGAGGAAGGTGAATCGAGGAAGCGCAGGGTAGTGGATCTAGAGAACCTTGTGGAAGTTCAAGTTAATATGGAGGTTGATGAAACCGGTTCAAAAAATGTAGTTGCGGCGGTGCTACTGAATCAGCACCACCTGGAATTCCATTAGTTGGTGTAAGTGGGAGTTTTCCTTCGGAGGTGGCTGGACAAACCTCTTCTCCCTTCCTGATGACCATCCAAATTGGAATGATAATATCTTTGGAGGTGTCCGATCAAACCTCTTCTCCTTTGCTGGTGGCTGGTAAAACCAGGATTTATGACTATACTGCTTATTTTTAGTTTTTGAACTCTAGTTTTTTTTATCATTTTGTCGTAGTAGCAAGTATAGCGATGGTGTTAGAATTAATAGCTTGCCATTATGTGGAGTTAGCTATCTGACATGGCCTTCTAGGACTAGCTAGTTCTATATTTCACTTCAAGGTTGCTCTGAGCTATTGCTCTGCTTTGTCTATTGTTAATTAGTTACCTTTAATATCATTAATAAATGAATGTTTTACTTTCAAAAGCAAAATTGTATTTGACTCTTAAGATCATCCTATAGTTCTAATATATGCATCAAAGAGTTATTTAAAACTTTGGACACTATGAATCATATGAGAGCGCGCAATCGAGCATACAGAAAGAATCACACAATCCATCCACAAGGACGACAAGCTTATTAAACATATCAGATTCATTGAACCGACATTAAACATCTTCGATGAAACTTTTGTATAACCACTAATTTTACCATAGCTATTTTTTCCATAGAAATGAAAATGGGTAGGTCACTGTGGAATATAAACATAAACCAAATGTAATGATGACGATTATGACGAACCAACATAAAACATCGATGTGATGTCCACCCCTGCAAAGAGTTGGGTCATGAGGGAAAGTGTATATAAAATCCCGACGATTATCTTTTCTATCAAATTGATCTTTCATATTAAAAGAAGAACATCTATCTATAATAATATATAGGAACAAGGTGAGGAGCCATTATGGTTACAATTCCCGCCTAAAGCCTAAGAGCTATTTATGGAGACATATGAGTATTAAATGTCTTAATAAATGATTTTTCTCTTAGTAACGTATGATTAACATATGTAAGTCATAATCCAATTAGTTCTGTGTATGGGTAACCCCACGATGATAAAATAATAATCATCTAAAATAATAATAATAATAATAATAATAAGCAATGATCTGAGAGACATTATAAGTGACTCATGTAACATATTTAGGCACTTACATAAATAACCATTGCAAATTTAAGATTTTCAAAAGATTGTACTTTTTCAAAGCATGGAAGACATCATCTCTAACGTGAAGGTAGGAACGATTGCAGTGGCTAATAGTTTGAGTATAAGGGGTTGTTTACTTATTTTTCTATTAAGTTCTGTTTGAAATAAGGAGTCCGTTTAAGTGATATTTGTATATGAAGCTGTTTATTTTGAATGCTGGATAATCAGTTTGAAGATTTAATTAAGTTCATTTAAATAACATATTCCAAAATTTTATTGATTTTAATATTTAAGTCCAGTTATTTGGTGTTGCATGTTCTTCCTGAAGATGAGGAAGCTTACACATCCCTAATAAAAAGATTATCATCAATCATAATAGTTTAGTTCCAGAATTGAATGTTTTTTCACCACGCTGCTAATAGCCTGATTTGAATGAGTATTTCACAAAAGCAATACTTCCTAATATTTTCATTTTATTTTCTTTAAATTTAATAAAAGAGAAAAACCAAATAATTTACAACATAATTAAATTGTTAGATTTCATTCCAGAAAATTATCGAACACTTAGAGAGCAAGAAGATTCAATATTTAAGACATTATTATTTAAGTATCAAACACTCAAAGTATGAAACATAGAATATTTGGAGGAATCCCGATGGTTATTCAAAGTTCAAGAACAATAATCGGATATGAACTATCAAGATGACTGCTTATTATAAAAAATTGTCGGGTCTTTTATTGAATTTCAGCTATTCTCAGTCCGTTTTGATTTTTCGATTACTTTGTTCAGCCTTAATTAAGATTATTACTTTGTACTCTTATTTATGGTATTATCATCTCAAGCCTTTTGATAACCTCTGTGTTCAACTCTCCGTGTTCAACTTTTCAATCTTTTCTAAAGAAAAATTATCAGCCTTATAATAAATCATATATTCAATCAAACATAAATGTTTTATATATTTGGCATGTCCAATGATGTAATAGCCAAAATAAGTAAAGTTATATATATCATTTTGGCCACTATTTCATATAATTTTTCCTTTAATTTATTAATAAAAAAAACTTAATACGGTTATTGTCCTACATTTCAACGCTTCGGCCAAAATTTCATCAATTTTTCTGGGTTCAACAAATCCAGTTAATTTCAATACGGTTATTGTCCTACATAGGACTAAAGAGTCATTAAAAAGCACAAATAAGACTACTACATAGTACATATTAATTTCTCCAAATAGGACTAAACATTGATTCTACCCTAAATAATAATAATAAAATCAGGAGTAAAAAATAATAATACAATGTATAAAAAAATCGTTAAAAAATGATAAACTATTTACAAAATAAGAAATTCTAATTTTATTTTTTATAAAATAAAAAATAATAATAATAACCCATAGAAAAATTTAAAAACAAATATGGATACCTTTCCCACCGCCTCCCAGCACCACCACCTCCGACTGGTGAAAATTATGCCACTTTTTGTAAAATGCCAAGAAAATAGCATTATTACTTTTCATTATTCCAAAATTTTCATTTAATCTGTCATCATTATGACATTACTAAAAACGTCACCAGATTTCCTCTGGTGAAGGAGCTGGCAGTGCTAGGGTGGCAGAGGTTGCATTTTTTTGCATTTTTTTTGGTTTTTTAAAAACATTTTTTTAATTTTTTTTAAAAATATTTTAATATTTTTTACGATTTTTTTATGATTTTTGTTATTTTTTATAATTTTATTATTAATTAAAACATTTCAAATGCTACAAAGGTATATTTTGGCTCTGATACCATGTGAGAATAATACCAGACTTAACCCTTATGGTAGCCCTGGCAGAGATATATATATATATATATATATATATATATATATATATATATATATATATATATATATATATAGACAAAAGAGTTATAATTACATAAAGAGTTCCACAATAATAATAATATTAAAACTACACTATTATATTTGTCCAGACACATAAATAGTCCTACTGGGGGATTTAAAAAATGTAGTCCTATTTGTACAATTTGACCACTTTTTAGTCCTATTCAGGTAATTGACTCATTTCATGGATTCTATAATAATAATGACAATAATTATATAGTAGGTCGTATTATCTATAATAATAAATTAATAATAAAAATAATTTTCAAGAGATTTCAACTACACATATTTAAAACTTTAACTTTTTTATTGACTTCAGTGCACAAGGAAATAATAATGAAGGTTGGAGATTCTAACGATAATAATTCAATCATACTTGCTAATTAAATTAAGATATTTTTCAAAAATATAACTGAATTAAACTTATTTAATATTAAAGCAACTATAAGTATAGTAATTATATGGTAACTTAAATGTAAAAATTGAACAAAAGCTACTATGTCTAAAGTTGCTATTGTACTTTTGTTTATTTTTTATATTGAACAAAAGCTACTATGTCTAAAATATAAAGTCAGTACACGTTTAGTCATACTTTTGTTTATAATTTATAATGTACAAACTGCAAATACAAATATATATATGTATAGGGATATAAAAGGACAACTTTTATTGCTAGCAGCCTAGCACTAGGTAATTCCAACTTTGCCGAACTAACTTTGTTAAATTGCTTGAACTATTCATTAAATTCTCACCGCTATCTGATGACATAATTAAACATATAAATTATACATCTCCGTGCAACGCACGGGTTATGAATCTAGTAATGAGAGACGAAAAAAGAGTCGCTGTGTAAAATTGGAACAAAAGGGAATTTCAAACAATATTGTAAAACTCTAAATTGTAATGAAATTTTAAAATTCTGGGCAATTTTAACTTTAACTTTTATTTCGAAAAGTATGAATTGCATTTTGTTCTCATAAGATCATGTACATTTGGAAGCCAAACAGTTCTTTACGACTCATTTTTGTATTGATAAAATGATAGATTTGTTGGAGTGATTTTAATTGGACATAATTTTTGAGTTAATAACTTACTTTGGTAAATATTTGTGGTACGTGTATTAGAAAATGTATAGGTAACAATATCCCGCCTTCACCCGCCCAAAACAGCCGCCGTATTCCGCCGTAACTTCTTCCTCAAATATCGCGTCCTTTCAATAACGTCTTGCTCCACCCGCCGTGCAAACCCCCAGAACTCCACACCGATCCCCGCGCCCCGCCCATTCCACCTCCCAAAAACAGTTAATGTCGTCCGTCCGTCCAAATTTTACATTCTCTTGCTGTAATTTCTATTTAGTCTTTGGCCTCTCTTGGCAGGCAAAATGTTAGAACTTCTCAGAACAGAGGATCTCAAATTCTCAATCCGCCACCGGAATGGAGTCCCCGATGAATGATGATATGATCTATAAGCGCCCATTCCATGTTACTGGTTCAGTGTATGATAGTAATGATGCTTCCGGGGAAACTTTTTCCCGGAAAAAACTCCGGGTACTCGGCGGCGATGACGTTATGCAGGGGAGAGCCAAACTTTCCGATGAACTTCCACTGGACGACGGACGAAATGGTCGTCGACGGTGTTCTGGCGGAATTGACAAGAGCCCAGTTCCTATTATTCATCATCCAGTGGACATTTCTTCCCGGAAGAAACTACTGATTCTCGACGTCAACGGTCTTCTTGCGGCCGTTGACCGCCTAACCTCAGCTGGACGCGTCAGCTATTCAGGCAAGACAAATTAACTTTCGAATTACCTTAAATATAATTTCAACTGTTTATTTATTTTTTTAACTCATCGAACTCAACGGTTTAAATGTGCAGTAACAAAGAGACCCTTCTGTGATGACTTTTTGCACTTTTGTTTCGAGAGATTTGATGTTGCTATCTGGTCCTCGAGAATCAAGTAAGTATATACTCCCTACCATAGAAAATAAAAAATTTCTAAATCGGACTAACAAAAAATAATTCTATTCAAATAGTACGGAGCATTCAATTTAATTTATTCGTACGTAACATGTACACATGCACTTCTATTATGGAAATTCTTATTGTTTGTTCTTTAAATACTACCCCGTTCTTAAATAAATACAACATACCGGTGGGTGTAGCTCAACTGGTAGCGAGGGAGTGCCATAAGGGTTATGTCTCGGGTTCGAATCCCGGCAACTGCGATGAGGGGTTACTATGCTGAAAAATGCATAGGGCCTCTGCAAGTATCAGGGACAGAGCCTCACTCTCTATCTGTCAGATTGTGATTATAGTCCAATTTACATCCTCCCATCGTGTCGTCCGGTCGGTGTTGGGGGCCCTCCCGGATGGGGTGTCATCCTTTTTTTTATAAATGCAACATGTTGAATTTTACACTATTCTCATTCTTATTTTTGAAATTTTCTTATGACTTACTCATATTTTGTGCCCCTTTTATCCCATAACCAACTCATCACTTACACAGTTTTAGTATAGCTAAAGTGGGAAGTTTATTTTTCAATAATACCCCTAATTTATGTCAAATCTCAAATGAAGTAAAAGTAAATAAAAGTATGGTTTGATATTCGTTATTGAATTGTTGCTTTGTATATTAATGAAAATTTTATTTTGAGACATCTAAACATGAAAGTGAGAATTTAGTTTGAGGACATCACTAGTACATAATACGCAATTACTACCTAGCACATGCATCTTTCATACTTCGTATGTAATAATTTCCACCTAATTACTTCATCTGTCCCTAAATAAATGTTCCACTTTCCTTTTCGGATCATGCCTAAAAAAGTCTCATTTTCTTATTTAGTGAATAACACAATGCAAAATAGTGTCAAACAATGCGAAACAATGTCAAAACAGTGTCAAATATTGTCATTTTCTAACAAGACTAATTTGCTGATTTGGATCTCTTTTTTTTGTATTGGGCCTTTATCTATTGGGCCTTAAGTATATTAGTTGTACTTAGTATATACTCCGTATAGATTAGTTTTTACTCTAAGTTAGATAAGTGAATTCATTCGTTTTCTGTTCATCAATACAACACAATTCTTGTATTCAATCGTTAACATTTTCTTAAATTGTTTGTAAAACAAAGTGAGACTTTTAAATAGGGACAAAAACATGCATGCATTTAAAAATGCTAGCTTAATTACACTCAAATGATTATGTGCAGGAAGAATCTTGATCCAATAGTTGACGATATGTTTGGAGATTTGAAGGGAAAATTGGTGTTTTGTTGGGTAAACCTTTAAATTAAAAGACTTTGCTATTTGACATTATTCTCACGTAAGGATGAATGGTGTTTAATTTGCATTGTGTGATTTTGCCTACCTGGAAATTAAACTTGGATGCAGGATATGTCTTATTGTACCCGGACCAAATTTAAGACTTTGGAGGATAAATATAAACCCATAGTTTTTAAAGAGTTATGGAAAGTAAGGGACTCAGGATTTCCAAATCAGCCTTGGCCAAAAGGATACTACAATGAGTCAAACACATTGTTATTGGATGATTCCCCATACAAGGCCTTGCTTAATCCCGTAAGTGCATATATTTTCCATGTCAATTAATTTTAGTTGGTTCATCGCTAGTAAAGTTTATCGATCTACATATATATACGTTTAAAAGAATTGTTACTTCTAATAGGTTTTTGTAACACTTCAAAAATATCGATCTAACAGTATCTACATCATTTCGTAATCACCTTTCACTTTCCCAAGGAAAATCCATTAAAATGAATTAGAGTTTGTTACAAAATGACATGTTATTGTTCACATTCTATGATGTTATTTGTAACGTTCTATGATCGATGTCATATGATGACATTACCAAATATTCCCTATTGCATAGATAGTACTACGTATTAAGTATGATATGGCTACTCCTTTTTTATGTGCTTAATCTTTAGACTTGCTTTGATGTAGATTCACACTTCAATCTTTCCATCTACCTACAAATCCACGATCCCGGATGACAAATCAGTAGGTGAGTTAACTAATAACTGAGTACCTACTACTCCCTCCGATTCCAAAACAAGTTCCACCTTTCCTTTTCGGGCAGTTCCAAAATTAAGTTCCACTTTCAAACTTTTCCTTATTTGGCAAATTATCTACATCAAAATAGTTCCAAGCAGTGTCAAACAATGTCCAAACAGTACACTTCACAGTAAAGTCAAATTTCTTTTCTTAATATGTGTGAAGTCAAATGTGGAACTTGTTTTTGAATCGGAGAAGTACTTAATTTGCATCCCAATTCACGTCAGTTATATAACAAAACCAAAGTTATAGGTTCGTTCCTGTATCCTCTCTTACTTGGACAAACCTTTTCAAACAGACGTAAAATGTGTAAATAAACGGTGTGACGGTCCCAGCTACTCTAAATTTAGAAAATTGATCTATTTTTTGTGTAAAAGTTGTACAAGAACTTTTCTGAAAACATTCTTTGTAACGATTGATCCCAATTTTTGCTCATGACCTCTTAATCTGATTTTTTAAATTGTTAATGTTTTCAGGTCGAGGCGGTGATATTCGAGCTTATCTAGAAGGGTTAGCAATTGCCGTTGGTGAAGACGTGAGGGAATATGTAAAGGGACACCCATTTGGGCAAAGAGCCATTGATGAAACTAGCTCTGACTGGCATTTTTACTCTCGAGTCCTTGGATCCTTTTCTGCACTTTCCTAATCAACTACTCCGTAATTGCTATGTAATTCGATTCCTTCAAAATCTAATTGAAACCTCGTGAAAGACTTGGTCACTCTTTTGTCCTAGTTCCAGTGTCATATGCGCTCACTTTTGAGAAACCCATTTTTGTGACATAATGTTTTGTCAATTGAGAATTTGTGTTGCATCAACGTCGGTTGTAAAGATTGTCACCCTATTTTTATTAAAGTTTCTACACAAATATAAAAAACATCACGGCAAATCAATATATATATATATATACAAAGAGAAACTTTTTAAGAGCATACGGCGTGCGTGCCAAATAATCTTGTTATGTCATTATATATAACAATTACTTAATTACTTTTTATACCTTTTATTTTTTTCTTACATTCTATTTTTATTGCATATTGATATGCAATGAAAAGATTGTAGGATATAATCCAATGCTAATACGTTAACGGTGCATATGTGGCATGAGAGATAGCCAGTCAAAAAACAATAAATAAAATATCTCTCTCCTTATTTGAAAAATCTTATATCATTTTGGTAAGTACATAAAATAAGCTAAAATATCTCTCTCCGTATTAGTATTGGAGATGCTCTAATCTAAATTCAATCACTCCCGTTGAAAGTTGTTTACAAATATTACATGTGGCGGTTTTATGTTTTAAAACATACGGAGTAAAGCAGAGGTACGGGATGTAAAAGTGTAAAACTACTCTCTATGTAGCACCGATACCGGTACGCGGAAACGCGGAAACACGGAAACGGGTACGGGGATACGTCAAAACCAAAAAAAGTAGGATACGGATACGGGGCCATATTTATAAATATTAAAAGTTATGGGGGTGTATTTACAAATATTAAAAGTTATAGGGGTCTATTTATAAATATTAAAAATAGATTTTTTTGAAAATATATATATATATATATATACATCTAATATCCTATGATGTCTACCCATTCATTGCATTGAAGCATTTTCCTTTTTCAAGATACTTAGTAATAAATTCAGAATATTTCTCATATACACTAGTGTATCTCGAAATATAAATGTACTTAATAAGTCATTAATTTAAAATCAGAAATAAGTCTAACAACTACAATCTTGAAATTAAAAGTGCAAGTACCCAATTCAGAGTATGAGTTAATGACTTAATTCGGATATAGCCATATAGGCCCATTATTTGATTACCAAGTAAAATGTAGTTTTAGATTTTCATTTTTTTAGAATTTTATTAAGTAAATTTTGGGATTTGTTTTTTAAAAAAAGTTGATACGGGTATCCGTCAGGATACGAGTATCGGAAACTTTCAAAAAATTACAAAAAAAAAAAATGGAAACTTTTAAAAATTGAAGATACGGCCCGGGAACGTACGGTACGGGTATCCTAGAGTATCGGATACGGGAACGTATCGGATACGCCGATACACTACCCTAGGGAAGTATCCGTGCTTCATAGACTACTCTTTAAGAGATTTACCAAAATAGGATAACAACATAGCATTTATTTCAAATATAGGACCTAGTAGTTTAAAATGTTATAAATATGATCTTTTAATTGTGATTGGACAAAACTACCCTAATCGGGTTGGAGAATTGCTACCCTAGGTCGTTGGCAGATTCTAGCCACCCATCGCCGTCGCCGCCGCCTGCCGCCGCGGTTACTGTAATCCGTCGTCGCCAAGCTGCTGCCATCACCGAACTGACCTTGGTTACGTTATTTAAGCGGACTAGGGCAATGTAAACAAATTAAGGAATTCCTCTTGGTTTCTTTCGTAATCTTACAAAATTGTAGAGGGGCCTAAGTTTATTTTAGGATTTCTAGCCACAAAAGGCTCAATTGTATAGGTTTCTTGCTTCTATTGGGCCTGTTCATATTGGCTATCCTTCATTATTTCTAGCCCAATCCTTTAATTGGCCCAATGTATTAATAACTTCACATCCATTTCCTTGCTCATCGGCCCAATTTAACTCATCAGTTTATCAATTAAACAGATTAAATATGAATGTCATAATTTCAAAATGACATTCAAATGCCTTTTACTAGGAGGTTATTAATAGGATAAATAGAATAAGTAGAATCGTATAATTTTTATGCTCGGCTTATAATACTTTAAAACTTGTCATGATATATATTTGTTCGAATACAAGTCTAAAGTAGATTGTTAGTGTGTGAATAAGAGGAAGAATAAGAGGATATTGTTCAAATTAAGACTAAAACATACTTTATTTATTTGTTTTCATCAAATAGGAAATATGTTGATTTTCTTTAAGTAGGGCCATTCATTCTATTTTTACGTACCCATAATTTAATTAATTAACTAAAAAATCTAATAAACTAGCCTCCTTGCATAATGTAACTAATGTTAGTTTGTTGGTGGTGGGTGTGACCATGATGATTTGCTCATAGCAATCATTTATAGTCGATTACATTTTCCCATAAATTTTTTTCGAGTAATATTTAAGAATAAAGTCGGATTTTTTTTACTATTCTAATTACTTAATATTAAATAGTACTTATACTTATTATTTTATTATAAATATATGATTTTATCCTAATTACTACATCTTGTTTGAAGTTATATTTGTTATCATCCTAAGAGCCCGTTTGGTAGCACGAAAAATCGGCTGATTTAGTTGATTCTGCTGAAATTTGTGAAGTTCTGGCTGAAGTGGCTGCATTGGCTGATTCTGCTGATTTAAGAAAAAATTATTTTTAAAAATATTTTTTATTACTAAAATAAAGAAAAAAATATATGTAGAAATAGCTAAAATGATCATCTACAGTAACTTCAGCCAATACTAGGGGTGGGATTTTGGAACCGGGAACCGTAGAACCGATTGGAACCGAACCGTTAACAACATCTAGGAACCGAACCGTTAACAATTAATGCCTCATTTGTAGGAACCGAACCGAAACGGGTTATAACGGTTCAGTTCCCGGTTCCTATAAAAAAGATGTGCATGGAACCGTTAACAGGGGCGGATCTAGCTTTAACATTCAGTAGGGGCCATTTTTTTAATGAAGGGCCAAAATTTAATTAAATAACGTATATTGTCAAAAAAAATAAAAAGTGAAAATGTAGTAAAATAATACTCCGTACTACATTTGTATTATTATTTTCGAGTATAAATTGATATTTGTTGCAACATAAATGTCGAAGACAGAAATAAATATTACAAGAACAAATTTTTGTCAAAGTCAATTTAGAAGTAAACGTTAATATAAAAATAGAATTATATAAAGGCATAAATCTGAAAAGCTAAAAGCTAAAAAAATGAATATATAAACAACAAAGTTATTAAAGGCTCAAGGCAATAAAGCCATAATAGCCCTCTCTGAAATGGTTTATAATGGCAACAAAATGGTTTATTTAACTAATTTATAGAAATGCATAAGTTTTGAAACTCTGAAAAAAATGGAATAATACACATATACATTGAAATTAGGCCGGGAAAAGGTGCAAATAGGCCCATGTACTAATCAACAAAGGTCAAATAAGCCCTTATTTAGGTAGTTCTGTCCGGCCGTCGTCATTTGGGGTGGTTCTCGGTGGAATTTTTTAATGAAATTTTTTGAGCATCTTATTCATTAAGTCTAGTTTGCTCATACCAAATTTCAGCTAAAACTTCCATCGGGAAGGCATTCAAATGAATACTTGAAGATAACTGCGCTTCTAACTGTGCAGTTATTTTCAATAATTCATTTGAATGCCTTCCCGATTGAAGAATTCTTGAAGATAACCGCGCTTCTAACTGTGCAGTTATTTTCAATAATTCATTAAAATGCCTTCCCGATTGAAATTTTAGCTGAAATTTGGTATGAGGAAACTAGACTTAATGAATAAGATGCTCAAAAATTTTCATCAAAAAATTTCACCGGGAACCACTCCAAATGGAGACGGCCGGACAAAGCCTCTTAAATAAGGACTTATTTGACCTTTTTTGGTTAGTACATGGGTCTATTTGCCACTATTTAAGTTTTTTTGGACTTGGGAGAGTAGAATTCCAAAATCTTGGACGTTTAAAAATCTCTGCTCTCCAACGGACACTGGTCAGATTCCATCTCGCCAACGCGATCTTGTCATTACAATTCGGCTTTTAACTTTATTATAGCATTTCCAAATAACTATATATAAATAATACATATATATACTACTATTTTTTTTAGTGTGGGCCTAGGCCCTCCCTAGACCTAAGGCAGATCCGCCCCTGATCGTTAAGGAACCGTTTAAAAAAATAAAATAAAATAAAATTAGTAGTAATAGTAACAACAACAACAACAATAATAATAATAATAATAATAATAATAATAATAATAATAATAATAATAATAATAATAATAATAATAATAATAATAATAATAATAATAATAATAATAATAATAATAATAATAATAATAATAATAATAATAATAATAATAATAATAATAATAATAATAATAATAATAATAATAATAATAATAATAATAATAATAATAATAATAATAATAATAATAATAATAATAATAATAATAATAATAATAATAATAATAATAATAATAATAATAATAATAATAATAATAATAATAATAATAATAATAATAATAATAATAATAATAATAATAATAATAATAATAATAATAATAATAATAATAATAATAATAATAATAATAATAATAATAATAATAATAATAATAATAATAATAATAATAATAATAATAATAATAATAATAATAATAATAATAATAATAATAATAATAATAATAATAATAATAATAATAATAATAATAATAATAATAATAATAATAATAATAATAATAATAATAATAATAATAATAATAATAATAATAATAATAATAATAATACTCAAACCATTCGTAAATTTCATCTCACAATACGTTAAAATAGTAATAGGGTTGAGCACGGATCTGGGATTTCCCGTTCCATACCGAGAACCGTCTCAAACCGTACCAGAACTGAACGAAACTGGAAAAATATAATATTGTACCGGACCATACCGAACCTATTTAATAATATGGTACGGTACCGGTTCTTGAGTGAGAACCGTCCCAGAACGGCAGAACCGTACCGAACCGTATTGAACCGAATGGTCCCGAACCGTCCCATATCATCTCGAAAAATTGGCTATATAAAAT